TAGGAGAACGACTGTAGAACTAAGAAGAGTTCCCAAAACAATTTAGGGGGAGAGTGTTCCTCCAACCAGGGTGCAGTTTTACATTCAAATTGCCCAAACATCCTGCCCCACAGAGAATAGGTGCCTGCTTAGGATTCATTCATGCCTTCGGTAAGGTCGGACCTTGCCTCTTACACATTCTGGAAACCATCTGTACCTTGTACAACTGGCCAGGAGATCTACTGTGATTGCAGCAGCCTGGCTACAGAAACAGCAGAAATCAACCGGCTTCTATTTTTAAAACCTAAAACTTTTGGAGTCAAAAAGCAAAGCCAGCCTCTTTGAAATTTTAGTTTCTATGGATACATTTTATTTCACAAAAAGAGGAGTGATGAAGACTTCATCTGGAAGAAAAATATTTTGCTAATACTAGTTTAAAAGTAAATATGTGGAAATTAAAAATGGTATTGTTTCAGTTGATGCATATTTGATACATAAATGGAACTAACCTTACGTGACATATTAGGGCTACCAATCATCTTAGGCATTTATAACGTATTCAAATTGAAAAGATCCTGGAAATATTTTCTTGCTAACCTTGCTTCTCTCTCTAGTGAGAAAGCCAGTTATGATAAGTACGTTTATGGTCAAGGGGGATGATGACCAGGGTAGCTTGTAAAACACATAGGCCCTAGTCAACTAGATGTATCTTTTCATTTCTAAATTAAAAACAAAAATAAGTGAGACAGCACTCTGTAAGACTGATACCTAGTCTGCCTCTTGCCCACCTATGTGACCTTAAACAAATTCTTAACCTCCCAGAGAAAACACCAACATAAGAGTCAGTACTATGCTGTTTTGAGACTTGAGCAACACTGTACATAAAATAGCTTTCTGTAATTCAGTGACATTACTTCTAACATCTATTATAAAATCACTTCCCATTAGCCTGTCCATTTCTGCCTTAAAAGCTTCCAGAATCCCAGTTACCTATAAGTAAATGGAACATACTTTTCACTCACCAGGATGAGATTTTGGAGAATCTCCAATGTTTGGGGGGAAAACCCTGTACCAAATGCTTCTAATCCCCCACAACACATCGTCCTCAGTTTATGGCAAACCATATTTTTGTTAGGAACCAAGGAATGACAGTTTCTTAATCTGCCATAACCAAGTTACCATAAAGCTGTATATATTTGTCTTCTACATATAGCTTGAATTGATTTTTTTTCTCTCCATTTCTGATACTCCATCCAAGTTACCGCCAACTTGCATTTTGACAGGTAGAAAAGACTTGTTGTTTTTGTTGTTGTTTTTTGAGACAGGGTCTTGCTCTGTTGCCCAGGCATCATCATAGCTCACTGCAACGTCAAACTCCTGGGCTCAAGCCATCCTTCTGCCTCAGCCTCCAGAGTAGCTGGGACTACAGAGGGATGCCACAATGCCTGGCTAATTTTTCTATTTTTTTTAGTAGAGACAAGGTCTCCCTCTTGCTCAGGCTGATCTTGAATTCCTAAGCTCAAGCACTCCTCCATCCTTGGTCTCCCAGAGTGCTAGGATTACAGGCGTGAGCCACCCAGCCTGGTGAAAAAGCTACTTATGAACTGCACCACTTTGACTCTTCCCCATCAATACTTTGTCCATACTGCTGTTCAAGTGATTTCCTCACAAATTCGATTATTAAGTATCACTAGAAAAATCCTACTTTCTCAGTTTTCTTTTTTAATTGCATCCAACTCAAGTCCTTCTTTATAGTCTAGGCAATATGCCAGTTCTTCATCAATAATCAGTCTCTTTTCTACATCCTTGCCTTTACTTACAATATCTCTCTTTATTGAAATGCCATCTCTTCTCCCCTTCACTCTGACAAATCATCCCAACTTCTAGGGGCTGCCATTTGCTGACTATTCAATCCACAATGCTTTTTTGTTTACTACAATCCTATTGCCCTTATGGTATTAACTGCACTGTTTGGCACATAAGCTGTGTAATGCAGTGTCAAACACAGATAAACAAATAAACAATAAGCAGCTTTAGAATAGAAAAGAGCAAGATTCAAATTCCACTGCCTTTCCAGCTGTGCGCCTTGGGGCAAGTTACTTGATCACTCTGAAACTCAGTCACTTCATCAATAAAATGGGTAATATGGATCTCATAGAACAGTTTTGGTAAAATTGTACCATATAGGCAAACTGTAAAATATTTCATGCAAGGCCTGACACCTGGTAGTAAGCTACTAAAAGCTGTTGCATACTACATAACTCTAGTATATAAGCTAGGGTGTGCAGTGCCAGCACATTGAACCATTCATGGTGGTACCTCCTAGTAGGTTAAGTAACATTATTATTGTTTACTTCATGTCTTTTGACCTTTCTTTTCAATTGGATTGTAAATGTGAAAGGATAGGCAACTTGAAGTAACTGTTACTTAAGCTCCGACTGCCTCCATAAAAGGTACACATTAGTAAATACTTCCCTAATCTTCACTCCATCATACAACAAATTTGCTTTGCTAAAATCGAGTTTATGATCTATGCCATTGAAGACAGCATTAAAAATATCTGCCACACAAAACAAATTCCTTTTTCTTTTATCCCTTCTTTTGCAGAGATCTGTTTATGGGCACTACACATGACATTTCTTGCTGTTGCCTCCATGAAATCCAGGATGAGAGATTTCTTTTAGAACCCAGCCCAGGAAAAGCTATGATTCTCGTAAGAAACATGTATACTTCATAGGAATATTGATAAACATGTAATAGACTGTTTCCCATTTCATTCTGGCTGCCAGCAGGCGGAAGGCCAAATATAGTAAGCAACTTCAGCAGCTACACAGAATTTTGAGACCGGCTTTACTGTGTAGTGGACACGGATAATTATCCTCAAATATCCATTCTCTCCTTCTTCCTTTCAATAATTTCCCTGAGTTATAGTCAGGCACATAAGTGCCCAGCATGAGACTACATTTCCCGGGCTCTCTTTAGTTAAAAGAGTAATTGGATGTGAATAGGAGTGAGGTGTACAATTTCTGGGTCATATTCTCAAAAGGAAGCTTACTTTCCACTTCCTTTCCCTCCCTTCTGGGGGGTTTATCACTTAGACGTGGTGGGAATGAGCCAACTTTGACCTTGAAGAAGACAATATCCCAGAAAAGAAAGCAAAAATATGGAAGGTAGCTGATCCCTGAAAGATTGTCAAGCTCCGTCTCACTGGACTTCTATTGGGTGGAACTTTTATGCGAGTGAAAAATAAATGTATTCTGTTTAAGACTGTGTTATCCAGGTCCTTTTTAAAGCAGCTGCATCAATTTGCTACCTAGCATACCTTGATCCTAATATTATGATTTTATTTATACAGTTTAATGTTTCCTTGTATACTTCAAGTTACTTCCATTATTCTTTTTTTTTTTTTAACGGAAGAATAAAGAAAAGAAAGTAGGAAGGAAAGCAAAATAAAGGAAGAGAAATGACACAGACACGGTGACCAGTTTGACACCCAGGATCTACCTGAACTCCATCACGCCTTATACAAATCCATCTCTGAAGTATAATGGTTCTCTTTTTCAAAATGTTTTCTAAAAGAGAATAATACTAATTTGCTCTTGTTCAGAGTTTTCAAGGTTTACTTCAAAGCACTGTCACATCAAATAAAGAAAAGAGCAATAAAAAGAGAACTTCTATCCTGCAACTCCAACAAGGCATATTCATGGAATCTTCCCCAACTCAAATAGGTGAACTGAGCTCAGCAGTCTTGGAGAGAGGATTAACAGCTGTGACAGTCAAGCAGTGACCCTGAATACCAGTCTTGCTCCTGTGAATAGACTTTTAAAAAATTACAATAGTAATGTACACTCAACTCAATAAGCCAAACATTATGGGGAGTTCCTAAAGGAAAATGCAACAGTCCCTCTTCCCTTGTCTCACTCTACTTCCCTGTCTCACAACAGATAACCAATGTTGACAGTCCCTTGTATATTCATGAACACCCCTATTCTCAGACAGGCATATACAGACATATATGGGCTTATTTTCACTTACTATATCAAGAACATAAAACACATACAGTTAACTCATACTCATGTACATTGAGATAAACAATATTCTCCAGTATGGCTATACCAAATTTTAAGCAACCTGGTTCATTTGGAGGAAAATAATTTAATTAATTAGTCTCATATTGATACAAATAGAAAAAAATTTAAAACCTGTTACAGGATATGTTTTGGAGATCAAGTCCCATTAATTCCATCTCTAAACTATATCCCCAAATCCATCTGATTTTCTCTGTCTACTCCGCCTTCACTGTAGTCCAAGCTATCATCATTGCTCAACTGGATGTTGCAATAGCTGCTACTAATCTCCGCTTCTCCATTCTTACCCCTTGCAATCCATGCCTCCCACGATACCCCCCTATTTTGATTTCCTCATAACTCTTCAACATTTGATATTTCTCCTCTATAGGAATTTATTTATGTCTCTGCTGTCTTTCCTACTCGAATGTGAGCACTACAAGGAGAGAAACTGTCCCATTCCCTGCTATATTTCTGGAACCTAGAACAGTGCTTGGCACATAAAGGGTGCCCAATAACTATATTTCAAATGAATGAACCAATCAATCAATTTACAACAGCCCATGTTCCATGTACTTCTGACTGAGGGATTCCTGTGTTGGGAGAAAGGCAAAGAAGAGCTATAGCATAATTTTAAAATTTGACTTCAGAATTAGGTAGCCTGCACTCAGAGCCAAGCTCCATCTTTTTTCTAAAAAGTAATTTAATTCTTTAGACCTCCATTATTAATACTAATTTTGAAAATGTGGAAAAATAACAGCTTACAAGCTTACAAAGATCAAATGAGATAATAGATGTAAAGGCATTTTTAAAACTCTAAAATGCTATTTAAACATTATTTCAATAAACTGGTACGCAACAAATATGTAACGAAAATAACAAGAATTGATTGAAATTTGACATTTAAATAATAATTTCAATAATAATTGCATGTAGAATCCATAGAAGCTTTACCTTTTTATAACTGGATATTCTCTGACGTATGTGTTCAATCCTTTCACTGCAAATGGCACTGAATTTACTCTGAAGGTCAACAGGGATCACTTCATTTAGAGAATTAAGGCTGGTGCAGTTTTGTACAAAATGATCATCACTTTTAGCCAGGGCTTCAAGAATCTGCAGTGATAAACACATATACCCACACACAAAAAAAACAAAACAAGAAAAAAACCTTCAACATAAAAATTTCAGAAGTTAACAATATGAGGCAACTTTCCTCTGCTGTTCTCTTAGTCACTGCTGGGATCTCACATTCAGTGAAGAAATTCCATTTGTGTGTTTGGAATATCTCAGGTTTTGCCTTCTGCCAACTATAAATCCCTGAGTAGGGAGGTAAGTGGGCTTCAAAGACACCCTACTGGATAAATCAGTACATTCTGATGGGCGAACACATCTGTATTTTGGTCGGCAGTCACTGAGAACATCTTTTTCCTCAATTCATAACAGAACATAAAAACTAAGAAAAACCAATAGCATCCTTACTTGTTACTGAGAAATCAACAAGTGCAGAAAGTGCATTTAACAAACGCCTGCTGAAGGACTGAATAAATGAACAGTTATCTTGGTGAAGTACAAATTAATGTTAGGTGCAGTGTCTGACCTCTAGCTGATAAAAGCATCATATAAAAGCACCCATATGATGTTTTCAATTAGGAAATTCTTTTGACCATTTGAATCAGCTGTAAGGAAGCGTGTATGTACATACATATGTCTGTGTGTGTGCATGTGTATGAACCACAGATTATTGAGAATTTCCAATGACTTGAGAATTGGAATTGGCATTTATGATTGTTCAGAGATCACAAGGATCGATTATATCCTTAACCAATATTTTTATAATATTCTGTGAAACATAAAACGTGCTCCCTTACCACCTCCACTTCCCTGCTATGCTGAATGTGGAGCATTAGCCTTTGTTTAATCCCTAGTCTAGAAATTAGAGCGCACTATATCACTAGCAGTATGACCTTGGCTAGACTTCTTAATTTCTTTGGCTCTCTTTATGTGTAAAATGGAAATGATATTTGCAGTACTAGCTTACACAGTTATCAAGTATGAAATAATCCATGCAATTTGCAAACTTAAAATATCTGGAAAATGAGATAAAATAGTGATAACAACCTGGTCCCCAAAACTCTTATCTGGACCCTATTAATAGTACAATGTAGTTGGGAAGGGACTGCATTTTGAAAATGAATATTTTATATCAATAGATACATAGAGTGGTCCAGTATCATCAGAATGATGAGATTTTTTTTTTAAGTTGACTTTCAGAATATAAAAAAAGTAGTTATTTTAAAAATAGTTCCTTTGGATCTCTATTATTTTCTCCCACTACAATGTTTAAAAACGCATGTTATAAATGCTAAATCTATCTCAACTCTATATACATGAAACAAGAGTGAAAATGAAAAAATGAATGTCGGGAAGCTATATATCATTTTTCTTACTTGTGCGATGTCTGAATTCTCACAGGACGGTATGAGAGCAGGACAGAGCACTAAAGCCAAGGCCTGCGGAGGTCACAGTACGGGCGTGGCCGACTCCCCTTGCAGGAGGGCACAATGGCAAGCAGAGTCGCCTCTTCCCCATGTGTTTTATCCATTTGGATGGAGACGCCCTTCCCGCCCGCCCATCTTGCGTCAGTCTCAGAGCCTTGTGGTGACATCCTTCCCAAATGAGGATCACATAAATGCCTAAGGATCTATTCACAAACTGGTCTCTGGGCTTCCTGAAATTTCATGAACTAAACACAACACTTGCAGAATTTAAAGTTTTTTATACTGTATTCCTGACTTTAAATACTCATGGGAAGATGATGTGCATTAAAAAAAAAAAAAGCAGCATCTATCACGAACACCATCTGAATCATATTCACGGTACCGAATTCACAGACGAAACAAACTCAATAAATGCAGTGAAGCCTCTGCCATTGTCAGCAAGCACGTGCCTGAGAGAGGGTCCCACCTAACTTAACTCTGTGCTCCAAAGGGCCGGTGAAAGAGAGGCCATACACATACTGAATAACTGGGGGGGGGGGGGAGGGGGGCGCGATAAAAATAAAAAGAAGTTGAATGAGCCGACGGTGACAACATGTTCATCTATTTACATTTTCAAAAGGGAGGGTGCCAGAGAATTCCAGTTGCTTTATTTAGAACAAGACACCTTGTTTTCCTAGGACGGCTCCTACCTTGGCGGTTAGGCTGAAGAAACCTTTGGGCTCAATCATCTTCTCCACCACATTGCACTTTATGCCAGCCGTGCTGTCGTACTCGTACACCACACCGTATTCCAGGTGGACGTTGTCCACCGTCAGACTCACGTGCTCCTTCTTCCCGTCGATGATCGCCATGGTGTTGAACTTGTCGATCACCTCTGGAATAGAGACAATTGTCATCCATCAAATCCAGGAAGGGTCTATTAATCTCCTCAAATAATTGTGAGGCTCTTTGAATAATTTTTAAGGAGTTCTTTAAAGGATGGTTAAATCCAATGTGTTAAATGAAGTATCTATTCTTAACATTTTTTAAAAAATAAGCACATTTTGGGAAAAGCATATGTTCCAGTGATCTAAATCTCAAGGCTCTTAACATGACTAGTCTTTGTACATCCACTTTGATCTGTGGGCCATATGTCTACCTATTTACACCAATATAAACACTATGCAGACAATTTTGTATTTTTTCATAAAAGATATGTATGACTTAAAGTCAGCGTTTCTAAAACTGCCTCAAATATCATATGAACATTTTCTCGAAGCAAGAAAATATCTATAGAGAAGCAGAAAGGAGACTCAAGAATCATTCTATTTGGTGGGAATGGAGGGTGGGGGAAGGAGGCTTAAAGTCTCCCAAACAGCATCTTACAGAGAGAGTTCCCATTTGGAATGTCTGCCTAATAGTTTTTTAGCCTACCATCAGTTAGCTGATGAAAAAATGCCTAAAATCTCAATTAAGAGACTCCTGGGAGACCTAACAGTAAATTTAAATAAGCAAAACTAGAATATCAGTTTACTTAAAATGAAATCCTAAAATAGTATAAGCAGTAAATATTAAATAAGCAGAAGTAGAATATTGATTTTTCTTAAAGTAATTAAATCCCAGAATAGCTACAAATCAATCTTCAGAGCATGATCTACCTTTGAATGTGGCACCAATGCCACAAATGAGGAATAAAAGGCTCAGGATAACACTCTGAGATTTGTCCTATTTTGAGTAAGTAATGTCATACCTTACCATAGTAACTTCACTGCTCCAGTGAGGTTGAGATGTTTCTGATACTGCCCATGGCTTAGGTGGGATCTAACCAAGCAATCCTCCAGGAGTGAAGGCAAAACAGCTTTTTCTAAGTATCCCCCATATAAGCAGTGTGTATAGGTGTGATGCAGTAAGAAATATGTTTGGTGTTTGGCCCCTGTTGCTGACAGAAAGCCTCTAAAAGCCTCGAAATTTACTGAGTGATAGCGGTAATAGAGGCATCTTTTGTAACGCACAACAAGCCCCTTTCAAATATACCTGAGTTGGGCCCAGAGCCTGTAATCCTAGCACTCTGGGAGGCCAAGGCAGGCTGAGATCGAGATCGTTTGAGCTCAGGAGTTCTAGATCAGCCTGAGCAAGAGTGAGACCCCGTCTCTACCAAAAATAGAAAAACTTAGCTGGGCATGGTGGCACATGCCTGTAGTCCCAGCTACTCGGTAGGCTGAGGCAGGAGGACAGCTTGAGCCCAGGAGTTTGAGGTTGCTGTGAGCTAGGCTGACCCCATGGCACTTTAGCTGGGGCAACAGAGTAAGACTCTGTCTCAAAAAAAAAAAAAAAAAAAAATATATATATATATATATGCCCGAGTTGATGCTAATAAAGTGACACATTGAGCACAGACAGATTCAGGATATGGCTTGTTGTCAGAGGAACCAACCATGTGATTAGGGGGTTCAGTCCTACACCCAGACTTCTGGGGAGTAGAGAGGAGCTAGTGATTAAGTGCAATCACCAATGACCAATGATTTAATCAATCGCGTTTGCAAAATGGAACTTCCACAAAAAGCCATAAGCCACAGGGTTCAAAGGACATGGTTCAGAGAGCTTCTGGGTCAGCAAACACATCCACGTGCCAGGAGGGTGGCACACCCCAACCCTCCAGGACCCTTCTGGACCTCACCCTACGCACCTCTTCATCTGGCTCTTCACTTTGTATCTTTTATAATAAACCAGTGACAGTAAAGTGTCTGAGTTCCCTGAGTCACTCTAGCAAATAATTGAACTCCAGGAAGGGTGTGGGAACTCCCTAAATTTATAGCCAGGTGTTCACACATACAGTGAAAACCGGAGACTTGTGACAGGTGTCTGAAAAGGGGGCAGTCTTGTAGGACAGAGCCCTTAACCTGTAGGATCTCTGCTTATGGCCTGTTTTAGAACTAAACGGAGCTGTAGGACACCCAGTTGGTGCCAGAGAGTTGGTGAATTTGTTGGTGGGGGGCTAACACTGCCCCTCACCCCCACACACAAGTGTGTCAGAAGTGTCATGAGTGAAAACAGCTCAGAATAGGGACTTCTCCAGCTGGTTTGCTGGTTTGCAAGAACCTAATAGTATAAGAAGACTGTCCAGAGACTTCCACCACCAATAAGTTAAAATACACCACGAGAATGTAAGGGAGGATTCAAAGACTTCTGGGGGAAAATTTTGAAACAATAATTTGAGGTATTTGTCAAAGACAGACCTAAGTTGAGCTGCCTCAGTCACCCTTGACAAAGAACCCACCAAATACAGCAGTCTACTGGTTTGCTCCACTGAGAAGCCAGAAATGGTAAGAATCCCTATCAAAAGATCTCCTCTGTTTCTCTCTCCTTCTCTCTCTTTCTGTCTTATTTTTATAGTATTAGTTTCCCTTTCCTTACTGTCAATGTTAAAATACAATAAACATAACCTAAAATCAAGAATATATTTTTAAAAGAAACTTCTAGAACAGAGCTTCTCAGGTTTTACCATGCATACAAACCAGATCTCGTTCAAATGGGGGTTCTGGTTCAGCAGACCTAGGGTGGGGGCTGAGGTCCTGCATTTCTATCTGGCTCCAGGTCATGCTGATATGAATGTTGGTAATTGTGCCTACTTTATGAGGTTTTCTCTTTTGATGGCTAAACAAAATAATCCATATAAAACACTTCATAAAGTGCCTAACAAACAGATATGGTTATTACGTGCTAGCTACTAGCTATCATTACTTATGTCAGGGGTCCCCAACCTTTTTGGCACCAGGGTCTGGTTTCATGGAAGACAATTTTTTCATAGATGAGGGGCTGAATGGTTTTAGGATGATTCAAGTGCATTACATTTATTGTGCAGTCAAACCTCTCTGCTAATGAGAATCTGTGTTTGTAGCTGCTCCCCAGCACTAGCATCACCGCCTCAGCTCCACCTCAGATCATCAGGCATTAGATTCTCCTAAGGACTGCACAACTGAGCTCCCTCCCATAGGCAGTTTACAGTAGGGTTCGAGCTCCTATGAGGATGTAATGGTGCCGCCGATCTGACAGGAGGTGGAACTTGGGCAGTGATGTGAGTGACGGGGAACAGCTGTAAATACAGATGAAGCTTTGCTCACTGGCCCGCCACTCACCTCCTGCTGTGTGGCCAGGTACCTAACAGACCACAGACTGGTACTGGTCCACGGCCCAAGGATTGGGGACCACAGACTTATGTATTTGACACAACGTCTATTTGGCAATAATGACGTAAGAAAGTGGCTTGAACGTGTAAGACCTTCAATTTCGGAGTAGGCACCGGCACAGTGGAAAAGAATACCACAAGCAGGTGAGGAGAAAAAGAAGCAACGGAAGGAACCTACCTTCTACCTTGCAGTCAAAAGCATCCCCTGCTTCATCTCCAGGGGCCTTGGAGTTAGCTTTTTGAAGGTCCTCTTGAGCACTCTCAATGCTATTATAAACCCATTGTATGGAATCTTGCTGGAAATGAGGAGGAAAAGAGACCTCAGAGGTATTAGCACTTCCTAAAATGCATGTCTGTTTCACAAGCCTGCTTCAGAAGGAGAGTTGACCATCTTATTTATTCCTCTAGTTCGTGTAAAAATAATAAAATTTGAAAGAGAGGGAAAATCAACATCAGAAATGAATAGAAAGTTGATGACAATTATATTGTTTAACAAACTGATTTTTTTAAGCTTAAATTTTTATTTTCCGAAGATATGTTTTATGGAAATTTTACCTTCCAAAGTTATGTTTTTAAAATAGGATATAGTTCCAAAATGTCTTAATAAATGCTTCAATTACATGTTAAAACATATGTTAGATGGACAGTTTTCTGATGAATCAATTATATATAATTGTATGAACCATTTAAATTGTTCTCCTAACAGTCACATTTATTTTAATGCACTTAATGTTTTTTTCAATCAAAAGAACATGAAAATGGAAAAACACCTTTTGTATCACTGGGTTCTCAAGTCATGTAACTATCTTTTAGTTGTTCCATGTCATAAATCATATTATATTTCAATTAAAACTACAGTTCTAGTCTTACATATAGGAACAAGAGATATGAAATGGCTATCAAATTAATGCTTTAAGGGTAGTATTGCTTTAAGGTTCATACATTTTTTTTCTAGATAAGATGATAAATCAAATTGAACTGCATTATTGAAGCATGATATAATATGTATCACCCATTTTTTTCTTGCACCAGTTCTACAATTGTGTTTAATTTATTACATTGTTGTAAATCATTAAACTGCTAGTTAATATTTGATCATTTAAATACATCTTTGTGCTCTGTTGCGGCTGTCAATGAACCACAGCCCCTGGTATCCCACAATGACCCTGGCTTGGCCAGGTACAAGCACAACCTCAGTAGAGGGTTTATGGAGTATAATGTTCCCTCTTGAAATGCAGACACCAGGCAGAAAGGAAAATCCTGCTGTGGGCTGGGAAGGAAGACCACGAAGAGGGCCTCTGGAGGCTGACCTGCCACGTGGAGCCTGAGGCCATGGGGTTGGGGGTGAGGTTCCCGGTCAGCTTCCCGCAGTATGCAGCTACCACAGTAACCGCACAGGAACCACCCCCAGCCAGTCCACAGAATCCAGAGAAATAATCAATTACAGTTGTTTTATTTATTTATTTATTTATTTATTTTCTCTATACGGTGAGTCTGAATACAGTTGTTTTAAATCACTACGTTTTGGAGTGGTCTGTTTTATGGCCATGGATACCTGAGAAAGCATTTTACTCTGTGGATGTTTCTGTCTACTTATTGTTTTTCTTAATCATTTCCCTGATCAATACCTGTCCAAGAGGACAGGCAGTGAAAATAAAAAGGAATGGAATTGAAATCACTTTGTATACTTATTAAAATTCTGCTAGAAGGGCAAAGATTTGATGGTTTCAGTAGAGTCTTTGTAAAAATTCATTCAATCTACAATGCAACAAATATGTATCAAGTTGCTACCAACAAGAGTAACCTATGAGTCTGTGTGTAACTTCCAATTTCCTATGCTACTTCTGACCTTATTAGGAAGCAAAATTGATCAGCTAATTTTTATGTAGGTTCAGGATTTTGCAGGACATCAGCCCTAGCCTATGAGAAAATGGCCTTTTATGTTCCCAGTTTGCACATGAAATCATATCTTCAAATCCAGAAAAGATATTTCAATTTGCATGACAGAAAAAATACAAGGCTCCTCCTTTAAAGTTCCATCTGCATCTTAGTTGATTAAATTGAGAGAATTTTCTCTTATACTTCAGTACTCACTTTTTCTTCATGAGATAAAAGCTTTGCTTATGAATTAGGATCCTAATTTTATTTTTCTGTGGCACTTGTGGATCAAAGGATAGTTCTTAAAAATTTTAAATAATGGCAAGTACATTTTGGTATTTTCTTATAAGAGCTAAATCCAGTTACCTAAATAAATCTATCCAGAAGTCAATCACAAACCCTATAAAACCCACAGTTTTTACTTTTTCACAGAAGTCTTATAGTAAACAGCATAAGTATTTATAATTAATATATATAGAGAGAGACACAGACACACATTATATATTCTATATATATAGAATATAATCATTATATAATTAATGTAATCATATAATATAATATAATCATATATATATAATCATTATATATTCTAAAGCAATTACAGGCTCAAAAAAACAGTTCAAATCTTTGGATTTTAATTCAATAAATTTGTATCTCAATGAAAATAAAAATACCCCAGGGCACTTTTTAAACAGATGATAATAACTGCAATAATAAAATGTAGCCACTTAAACACAATCAGTTATAATGAACTACGGAGATAAAACGATCATTATGAGACTTAACGGTGCCATGTTTAAATTCAAACCTACAATTGGAAACCACAAACACCTCTGGCACTGTCCCATGCTGTCCTCTAGGTCTTCCATGCAAGTGTTCAAGCGGATCCACATGAGCTGAAGCACAGCTTACCTTCATCGGCCGCCTGTACTTCCTGCAGGCTGTAACGTGGGCAATGACACTGGCGTGTGTCTCTTTGCTGACATTGATTCCATTTACTTTGATGATACACTGTCCAGGGTGAAGGCCGGCTGCTGCGGCCACAGTTCCTTTAAATACAAATGGGAAAAGTACCAAAACTAACTTCAGCAATAAGATTCATTTTTATAACATATGCAATAAAGGAAGCAATTTTAAAATACAATAAGGATCTAGCTAGTACGATCTTGATAAACTTGGTTCTGATAGCAATGCCCTCTCAACATTTTTCTACTTTTTAACTTGCCATTCAAATGGTGATTAACAGAATATTTCTTACCTTCCTAATAATTAATTTGAAAGAATATTGCAAAGTGACCTTTATAATGCTAATCAGTTATTTTCCTTTGCAAATGTCTAGTCAATCTAATTTTCTAAATATACATATATAATGGTAAAATAAGAAGACTAGAAACATATGCCTTATTTACCTTACTTTACAAAACCTCTAAATATTCCAATGGTATTCACCTTTGTTTTTTAAAATGCCAATAATTTAATAGACATACTAAAAAGAAATTTTTAAGGAAAAAAAATCAAGTCAATTAGCACCTATCAGTGGACTGAATTTTCTAAGAAAAATAGGAGTTCAGGATATGTACAAAGGGTCAAGAACTGGAGAACTTGTAAAGAACAGAATTAATCAGATAATGTCAACTGTTTACTAATTTTATTTGCATAAACATGGATTTAAATATGGAAGTAACATACTCTAACCAGTGAGTTAAGATTTCTCAGAACCTTCCAATTACTTTACTTGACAGTCTGATCAAATCGATATTAAAGTACCATTAATAAATACAATTCAGCCTTTTATAGTTTTCTTTGTAGAGATCTTTCAACTCGTAGTCAAACTTATTCCCAGGTAATTTTTTTGTAGCTATTGTAAGTGGGACTGGCTTCTTGATTTCTTCCTCAGCTAGATCTTTATTGGTGTATAGAAATGCTACTGATTTTTGCATGTTGATTTTGCATTCTGCAACTTTACTGAATTAATTTATCAAATCTATGAGGTTTTTGGTGGAGTCTTTAGGTTTTTCTAGATATAAGATCTCATCATCAGCAAACAGGTATAATTTGACTTCCTCTTTTCCAATTTGGATGCCTTTTATCTTTCCTGATTGCTCTTGCTGAGACTTCCGGTACTATGTTGAAGGAATGGTGAAGTTGGGCATCCTTGTCTTGTTCTAGCTCTTAGGGAAAATGCTTCCAACTTTTCCCCATTTAGTACTGTAGTTACCAATCCCCAGGCCACAGTCTGCTAGGGACATGGCAGCAGAGCTCTGCCACCTCCCATCCCTATGTGTGGAAAAATTATCTTCCATGAAACCTGTCCTGGGTGTCAAAAAGTTTGGGGACCACTGACTTTTAGTATGATGTTAGCTGTGGGTTTGTGGTATATGGCTTTTATTATTTTGAGGTATGTTCCTTCTATGCTTAGCTTGTTGAGGGTTTTTGTCATGAAATGATGCTGAATTCTATCAAATGCTTCTTCTGTGTCTATTGAGATGATGATCATATGGTTTTTGTCCTTGATTCTTTTTATGTGATGAATCACATTTATTGATTTGCATATGTTGAACTATGCTTGCATCTGTGATATAAAGCCTACTCGATGATGGCATATTATCTTTTTCATGTGCTGTTGGATTTGGCTTACTAGTATTTAGTTAAAGATCTTTGTATCTATGTTCTTCAGGGATATTAGTCTGTAGTTTTCCTTTTATGTTGTGTCCTTGTTTGGTTTTGGTATCAGGTTGATACTGGCCTTATAGCATGAGTGAGGGAGAATTCCATCTTCCTCAATTTTTTGGAACAGTTCCAGGAGGATTAGTATTAGTTCTTTCTATATCTGGTAGAACATTTTGGTAGACATGAATAGAAGCTTTTCAAAAGAAGACAACAAATAATGGCCAATATGTATATGAAAAAAATGATCGTTGCTAATCATCAGGGAAATGCAAATTAAAACCACAATGAGATATCATATTATACCCATCAGAATGTCTATTAAAAAGACAAAAAAAAAATAACAGATGTTGGCAAGCATGTGGAGAAAAGGGAAGTCTTATACACTGTTGGTGGAAATGTAAATCAGTGCAACCTCTATGGAAAACAGTATAGAGACTTCTCAAACTAAAAACAGAACTACTATTCAATCCAGTGATCCCCCCTACTGGGTATTCAACCAAAGAAAAAGATATCAATATATCAAAAAGGTACCTGCACTCATATGTCTATCACAGCACTATTCACATAGCAAAGCCATGGAATCAACCTAAATGTCCATCAGCAGAAGAACAGATAAAGAAAATGTGGCATGTTTATACAATGGAATACTGTTCAGACATAAAAAAAAGAATGAAATCATGTCTTCTGCAGCAAGGTGGATGGAACTAAAGGCCATTATCTTAAGTGAAACAAGCCAGGCACAGAAAATAAAATATCACATGTTCTTACTCATAAGTAAGTGCTAAAAAATATGTATGTACGAACATAGTGAAATGAAAGACAGTGGAAACTCAGAAGGGTGAAGGTGAGAATGGGGTGGATGATAAAAAATTAGTTAATGTGCACAATGTATTAATATGTTATCTGAGTGATGGATACCCTAAAAGCCATGACTTGACCACCACACAATCTATACATACAACAAAATTGCACATGCACCCCATAAATCGGTACAAATAAAAAAAGCAAAGTAAGCATGCTTTCTTCAATAAATAAATATAATCCACATAAATAATACAAATAATTGTAAAATTTATAAATGTTAGATGAGACTTTGTGAGCAATTTCTCTCATTAAGGAATTATTAAATATCTTTAAGAAAATAATTGATATTTCAGAACATATCTTTCCATTCTTTAGTAGTCCTCACTAAAATTTGCTCCTAGAAATATTAAGTGGTTTTCTGCATTGAATTGAGTCTTGGGGATGGAGGGGGAAGGAGGTACACTTCCAGCAGAGAGACCAGCCTGAGGAAAGGCCTTGCTTCAGAAAGCACCTGGCCACTGCGAGCATACAAGCCGCGCTGCGGTGTGCGCTTGGAGTGAGGGGCTGCAAGAGACAGGACTGGAGAGCCGAGCAGAGCTGAACCGTGAAGTCCTGCAGTGATGTCCTAGTGGTCTGAACCTTAGCACCTACAGATGACTCTGAGGGCTTCATGCCTGAGAGTCTGCATTTGTCTGTGAGGCAGGAAAAAGGAAGTTCCTACCAAGGAAAGCAATTTTGAGGAGAAAAAAAGAACTGATGGAGAACACATAAAAAAACTGCTGAGCAGTAATATGGGTGCAGACACATCAGTGACTCGGAAGACACTAATCCCATAACTGTGATCGTTTCTTCCAGCTACAGCAAAGAAAGAGCAAAGAAGGCGGTTAGGCTGATCCGAGGCTGGCATGCAGGGCCTGGCTGCAGCTGGGGAGTTGGAGTGAGGGGACCCTGAGGATGCTGGCCAGAGTGACTGCAGTGGCCCACCACAGGAATAGGCTGGCTGGGATATGCCATTATACCTCATGGCATAATTACGGTGCAGAAAGAAACCACAGCATAACCTCTTTTCATTTAATACCTATCTGAAAGTGAGCACGTGAGCATTTCTGTCTTTTACTCTTCCGAAGCCAAAAGCACCAGAAACCAGACTTAGGCCAACCTTATCACTAAGCTCCAAAGGTAGAATCTTGCTCTTTACATGATACTGTAATAGCGGAAGAGGGCTTTCAGTTACTTTATAGCACCATTAATGTGAATTATTCCTTTTTTGGCTTAGCAAAAATGAAAAAGATATTTGATGTCTCAATATTCCATTCCAGTTCTATATTTAATGAGTTACTGGGAAGGTTTTACATGTCTATCAACCTGTATGGTTTAGAAATCTGAGCAAAATGAAAGATTTTGGAATAGATTCTTTTTTTTATCATACACATAATAATAAAAGCAATGTTATAATCTCATAAAGGTCTAGCTTTATGAGATTAGTGTGTTCCTAATTAATGTGATTCTGATGGGAATGCCCTCTCAAAATTTTCCTGTCAAGTGTTTGGATGACTATATTAAGAGGCTTTACATTTCTCAAAAATATAAAGCATATACGCCCCTTGTTAGTTAAACACATGCTTTGTATGCTTATAGTGACACTGCTTGCTATAGCAGCAAATTATTTATCATGTTTAGCAATGTGGGATCTAGTAGTTATTTCCTTCAATCATTACTAGTGTCAGTATAAGCTGATTTGCCTATCAAACAAAAAGAGGGTAGTGGTTCACGTCTGTAACCCCAGCACTTTAGGAGGCCAAGGTAGGAGGATTGCTTAAGGCCAGGAGTTTGAGACCAGCATGGGTAACATACTGTGTTTCCCCAAAAATAAGACCTACCCATAAAATAATCCCTAGCAGGATTTCTTAGCATTTACCCAATAGAAGTCCTACCCCAAAAGTAAGACCTAGTGATGAGTGTGGCTACGCAGCGCATCTGCACAACCCATGTATTTCGTCACAGAGCAGTAAAGAAGACGAGCAGCCCTTCTCGTCTGCCCCATAGTGACAGCTACTATCCCAGAGGTGACCAGAAAGGTGCAGGCAGTCCCACCAACAAGATCGGCTCCCCCTGTCAGGTCCCGGCCATTCTGTGTGTGCTGCAAACTGAGACTCTCAGGGAAAAATAACACATCCCCTGAAAATAAGCCCTAGGGTGTCTTCTTGAGAAAAAATAAATATAAGACTCTATCTTATTTTCAGGGAAACACAGTAGTGAGACCCTGTATGTACGAAAAATAAAAAGAGAAATTAGCTGGCTGTGGTGGCTCACACTCATAGTTCCAGCTACTTAGAAGGCTGAAGCAGGTAGACTGCTTGAGCCCAGGAGTTTGAGATTATAGTAAGGTATGATCAGGCCATTGTACTTGAGCCTGGGTGACAGAACAAGATCCTGTCCCTAAAAAAAGTAAGTAAATAAATGTTAAAAAATAAAAACAAAATAAAAAAGAGAATAAAATATAAACACAACTTTTTAGTCACTAAAATAATTTAATTTAAAATGTATTTTATGGTGAGATTTAATCATAGTTTACAGCAGTACTTGAAGGAATTATATAGCAACAGGCTATAAAGTCCACAGATCATTCTTAAACCTGAAAATCCACATCTCTGGATTATTGACAAAAATTGCAATTATTTGCAATCAAGAAAAATACAAACAGACATCTTTGAAATCATTATATGCTTTGGGTAAACTGAAACATGTAGAAAAGTGAGATTGAGGCATCACTCTTGTATCAATTTTTTAACAATGATAAATATGCCTTAGAATGTTTAAGAGCTTTAAAAAAATATTGTTTACAGAATGTACTACCAACAAGTTAACACAGTGAAAATATGACTAATGAGAAAATTGAGAACAACATGATTATGCGTGTTTTAAATACATCCATCCCTGTGCTAGAAGGAACAGCCAAAACATGCTGGAACGCTGTTTACCCTACAAGCTGGATTTCTTACCTCTTCCTACAGCATGCACGACTGAAGGGCCAAATCCTCGGATCTGGAATCCAAGTCCATCAGCTGAATCTGGGATTTTCACTGTCCTAAAATCAACCAGAAAATAAGGTAAGATGAATTTTCAAATCCACAATTGGTTAAAACAATAGTTTTCTACACTTTGACGCATCCTCTCAATAACTAAATACTGAGGGTCCACCATGTGAGAGACACTGGGCTAGATACCTTTAGGGACAAACAGGGTCCCTACCCTCCCAGAGGCACAGAGCAGGCAGCAAGGCAGAGCCTCTAAACTGAACACAGCCGTTCCCAGCACATCCTGCAAAAGGAACAGGCTCTGGGGTCAGAGAACCCTGGCTTTGAGTCTTCATGTGGTCACTTCATAGTGGGCTAACTTGGAAAAGTTCCTTAACTTCTCTGATGCAGAAAGTTGCACAGAAACTCCACAGAAAGAAGGAGCTGTTAAAACTCATTTTGCAGAGCGTCAGTGGGGATTATAAGAGACGCCGTTGGTAAATTGCCCTGCACCATGCTATCAGCTATGTAGGTACTTAATAACATGGAAGATTCTCTCATTAGTTTGATGTTACAACAAAGAAATGAGTACCTTGTGAAATTTCTTTATGAAAGTTAATATAAAAGAAACACGGAGTTAATATATTTCTAGCTGTTGGGAACTTCATCAAAGAAGAACAAAAACGAACGAGTTTTAAAGAGCAGATCTGTCAATCACTACATCAAAATAATTTAAGAAGATGATTAACTTTGGTATTTATGCAGTGAAATTTAAAAAGAATAATAGATCAGAAGGTAAACCGGAGTAAAAGAAGAAATATTTCCAATGAACCTACATAAAAAAAGAAGATGAAGAAGGGATGGGCAACTTGAGTGAGCTGTCGTGGCAAACCAGTGAGAAGTGTCCAATTTGACACTAATAAATAAGATACTTCACCGAAGGAAGCCAGAAATCAGATAGCAACAATGAAAGGCAGAGAGCGCAAGATGGGACAGAACATCATAACAATAAAAATGAGTATAATAAATCTCAGTAGAGAGTCAAAACAAACGAAATGCAATGCAATAAATTTTTATGAATAGCACTGATGCCCGAGAAACAAAAGTGTTTCCCAAAAGGTTAATTAATCATGAAATAAATGCCAGCTGCACTTCAAGGGCACGCTAGTTGGAGTCTGAGGACAGATGCAGCAGGACCTTCCTGTGGCTTCTGAAACAGCTGTAGGAGACCCTTGGAGCACGATGGTGGGCCTAGAACTCTCGAGAACACCACAGACTGCACTTAGGCCTGAACGCAGAGGCTGCCTTCAAACCTCAAATACAGCCTAGGCAGGAATTTGGGGCTAGAAATAGAAACTGTCTGTTCTAGGGAGGCTCGAAAGTATTGTTGTAAATTAGGTGATACATTATGAAGTGATTTGTATATATGTGGATAGAGGTCATAGAATTAACTTACACTTTACCCTTAATTAAACACCTTCTGGTGTATGAGTTGAATCCATTTCCTTTGAATAGCACATAATTAACAACAGTGCCTGTCAAAGATACACTTGACAATGAAAGATGACTAAGAAAAAAAGAAGGGAATAAATACATATTCTGGTGATTGTAAAACAAAAACAGAGGCAGTTCATGCTCTTATATATTACCAATGGGAGTTCACTTTTGCTTAAATAACTTAGAGCTTTCAGGTCACAGTGATTACTGCTGTTTTGGATTACGAGTAATTCATAGTGGTCTCTCAACTCTTTCTGAGCTAGGTTTTCCTATCCTTCTAATATTGCTATGGAAGGTTGACCCAACTCTAATCTTCAAGAGGATTACTATTTTTTCTTAACAAAAACTGTACAAAATATCATGAGATGCATTTTGGTCAACATGTCATAACTCCCCTAACAAAATGGTCTTTGGAGAGCATGCTTACCTGGTGGGAGCACTATATTGTTTATTAAAGGAAGAATTAAATGTATACAAGAGGAAAGCTCTATTTCCTACAGAAAATAAATGTACTAAATGATTTGCTACAAAGCTTTTTAAAAATCCCTTGATGTTTATCAAATACAAAACACAGCTAGAATCAAAAGAAAATTCTTTTGTATTTACCCCTCACATGTGTGCCTTTTTCCCTCAAAACAGGATACTACTTAAATTTCAAAAAGCTATTGTAAGAAAACACGAGTGATTTATAGGACTCATACATTAGAATAAGGACATTAAGGAAATGTTATAAATTTCAAAAAAATTAAAAGGAAAAAATAAGTATGCCATCTTTAGAAAAATTTTTAAATACAATGCAAAATATGCTCTGATGTAATAAAGATACAATGAAACAAAATGAAATGAGAAAACAGATAAGAGTATCATATATAACGTCACTAGAATACTTACTATGTGCTGACATTAAAGTTCTTTACAAACCTAAATTTATTTAATGTTTTTCGTAGCTCCATGTGATAGGCACTCTGATCCCCATTTTATGAATGAGGATGTTGAGGTAACACTCTCAGCTAGCAAATGGCAGAAGAGAGTCTTGAACCTGGAATCTAGGATTCTAGACAGAGTGCAACAAACACTGAAGGAAGATGCAAAATACACAGATTCCAACTCTGCTCATATAATTCTAGGACTGAGGATTTGAAGTTGATGGCCCCAGTATCTTCCAATTGTTGAAACATCTATGATCACATGGACCGGTATTTGTAGATTAAATCAGGGTACCCTAGGGACAGCCTAAGGATTGCTTTGGCATGCTACTCTCTTATTCCTTTCAAATGTCCTCAAAGCATCAGGAGGTAGGCAACTAGGGTGGCCTTATCCTAGGCTGGGTGGGATTAAGGGGGAGGAATAACCATAATTAGATCTAGAGGGAAGACAGTGTTACAGTTCTCTGCTGCCCTCTAGCCCAGTCTTCCTAAATCAGTAACTTCAATGAGTCACACTGTTTCAGACCACTTGGTAAGTTGTTAGTAGAAGCTAAAGCACTTTACATATATTATTTCTATTAATCAACTGATTAAACAACCATGGTAAATCTGATAAGGAAATACTAGATCATTGATGGAAATGATTTGCAGAAGAAAAGCCAATATCTTGCAAATATATCCATAATATGTTGTTAATAGAAAAAAAGAATGACCACAAAGCAGTGTATAAAGCATGGTCCCACTTTGTGGCTATATGATTATGTATATGTATATCAATACTTTAAAAAATCAATTAACACTGATTTTCAAAAAAACGTAATAACAATGGTTATTTATGGGTGATATAAGAAAAACATCTTCCCTTACAAAACTCTGTACTAAGTTTTCTATGTTAAACATGAATTTTTTCTAATTACAGGTACATGACAGATACAACTTTTAAAAAGAAATGGACATATTGCTAAGTACATGCAAGCATGGAGTGTCTTTCAGTCTTGATTCTGTCTCATACGAGCATTTAATTGTAAATGGTGTCTAATCAACTAATATCGTGTTTCCCCGAAAATAAGACCTACCCATAAAATAAGCCCTAGCAGGTTTTCTAAGCATTTGCACAATAGAAGCCCTACCCTGAAAATAAGACCTAGTGATGGCGTGGCTACTCAGCTTATCTGCACACCCCATGCATTTCGTGGCGGAGCGGTAAAGATGAGCAGCCCTTCTCATCTGCCCCATCGTGACACTACTATCCCAGAGGTGACCGGAAAAGTGCGGCAGCCCCACCAACAAGGTCGGCTCCCCCTGTCAGGTCCCGGCCATCCTGTGCGTGCTGCAAGCTGAGGCTTTGAGGGGAAAGTGTCCTCAGTGAAGTGAGGAGCAGGACGCTCAGCTTTAGGTATTGTGTGTCCCCAGGGGAAAGAAGGAAAGCTGTGGCTGCCATTTTACTCAGCACTCTCTCACCCCCCACAACCACCAGGGGATAGGGGAAAAGCTTGAGCAAGCAGGCTCCTCCTGAGCCCAGAGAGGTCATGTCTGCTCCACTGTGTAGACTGGATCCAGTGCTTGGGTAAATGTAGATTGTTGAACCGTACTTAAAAAAAAAATAACACATCCCCTGAAAATAAGCCCTAGGGTGTCTTCTTGAGGAAAAATAAATATAAGACCCTGTCTTATTTTCGTGGAAACACGGTAATAGCGCCAGAAATTCTTATAGTTGAGTGTGGAGAATGCAGTTCTGTATTTTCAAGTGTTCAACTAGTTTTCTTCACTCACAGTCAAACTCAACCCAAATAGATCAGGAAAATTTAAGCAGCAAAGAAAAAGCATTATTTCTACTGAAACGATCTGATCCGATTAACAAGCGCTCTATCATCATAAGCCATATGGTTTTCCCCCATCATCTAAAGACGAATATTAGTGGTGCTGGTGAAGAACAACTGTTCCAAGCAACAAGATGCTCAATTCTAACCACTTAGTTAACTTGTCTATTTTACTCGTCTACGTATAATTTTTTTAAAACCCCACATAAATCATGCAACTTACTCCCTTGGCTTTGTGCTCACAAGGACTCTTAGAGGTTTTCTGCTGTTTAAGCATGATTTCAGGAAGCAATCCACTTCATTAAAAGGTCTCATAAAAACCAGGTCACCATTAATAGCAAAAATCTTTTTCCCAACTTCCATGCCAGCCATCTAAGAGAGAGATTACAAAAATAATTCAAATAATATTCTAATAAGGAATCTAGTTTTTCAGAAAATTAGGATCTGTAAAGTTTGGAGCTTATAGATTTTGACATGTCAACACATCTGCACTGTTTTTATACAAACTCATAAAACAGCCGTGGATGAGATAACGCAGTTACCATTCTCTTTGGCCTAGTTTTAAATCCGATCACATAGCTTTACTGAAATTCCGCATGCCTCCTTGACTTAACATTGTATTCCTGCTGTAACCGTTTTCTTCTACTGTATTTCAAAGTTCTTTTTCTTGTTTCATCCCTTTAATTATAGTCAATTTTTTTTCTGTGTTTTTCTGTGTTTCCAGGTTAATTTTTTTTCTGTGTTTTCCATCTATATCAAATTAACTCAGAAAGTTTCAACCTCTGTACATACATTGATGATACCCAAATATGCTTCTCTAGCCTGACACAGCAGGAGTGTCTCCAGTGTGTTGGGGGAGGGGGGTGCCTGGGATCCAAACAGAGAGCTCCGACTAGCTCAGAGGAGTCAATAATGTAAGATGCTAAAAGGAAGACGAGGAAGACATTATGCCTCCATGCCACTGGGGCACTCTTTTAAAGCAGTTCTGCTGCCTATAAACTGTTTAAAGCAGTTCTGCTGCCTACCTGTTGCTTAGGTTGCCAGCTAAATGCTGAAAACCTGGGAGAGTGTGATTCATCAGTGGCATAGTCAGATGAAGCTGTACCCTAAGAACACCCTCTGGAAACGCCTGGGAGAGACATTTCCTTCTCATACACAATTACTAAAAACTGGTCATTTGTTGGCCAGGTCCACTAACAGAGTATGAGTTGACCAGAGTTATTTTGTTTGAAATTAGTGTGCTATACATACGGGCTTTTGTCTTGTAGACATCTGTGTTTTGGTAACAGACAGACACCTTAGGCATCAGCAGATACATGATGGGTAACAGTTTGCTACTAACTTTAAACAGATTCCCAGTTAAATGCCATGCTTAATTAGTGCTCACATTCGTTATTAAAGATGTAAATATTGAGAAGTTTGCTTGAGGATTAAGTATCCCACAAGCCAGGCAGCAAGGTGATGTACTTGGGATGCAGCACTGGAAAGCAGGCTCCATTTTGTCTGTTTTGTTCATTGCTGTGTTCCCAGAGTCCAGAACACTGCCTAGCATGTGGTTGATACTAAATAAATATTTCTGGATGAAGGAGTGCGTTGCATGATGAGGCAATTCCTTTATTTAAAAGGCTGGTGAAGTGAGAGAATGCCAACCAGCATTAATCCAATGAGAAAATAAATCAAAGCATGTGCTGCACTGATGGGCGTTATATCCATATAAAAGACAGTCAAAGGTGATAGGAATATAGAAGGTGCACGCCTTGACTGAAAGGAAGAACCATCTGACATGCACAAAGCAATCCTACCCGATGCTGCCCCACAGGGTTCCAGGTGGGAATCTGCGATTTAGAGAAGCTCCAGGGACAAAGAATGAGCTGCTCGGCCTCCTGGGGGTCAAGGAGTTTAGAGCTGTAGATCTAGAACACCATCATCCCACTGCTCCAATTACCCTTTATTGCCCCGACCTGGGCTCAGCTGCAACAAATCCCAAGGGCAATTGGCAGGGCCTCCGAGTAGATTATCCAGAAACATTATCTTCAATAAAGATAATTTCAAGGCTGATTACCTTTAAAGGCTGATTTCAATTTGTTCAGAATTTTTATACTTGTATGTCATTTGTCAAAAAGTTTAAATAAAAATGCTAATTTACATTACCTCTGCATTAGACCCCTTTTCTACCAACTTTATTATTGGAACTTTATTTTTGTCTTCTAGCCCAAAGCCATAGCTGCCTTCATTAGATTTAATCTGAAATGCAAAATATTAACAATATTGGTAATGCAACCATGAAAAAGTTACAAATCAAACAGCATGAAGTAATATGCATCGCCATCAAACATGTTTGCCCAATCTTCTGCTAATGCCTAATCACGAAGAAAACTTATCTGTCACGTTAATAAACTTACCAATAATGATTTGGCTATAAGATTTTCTACAACCTTTAAATCATGTTTCATAAGTCGATGTTTCATATTTGATCCTTCCATTTCCTCATCCGAAAAAAAACGGAAAAGTAGAGGTTCATCTTTGAATTCACTTTTTTCAAGGACTACAGAAGCAGAGAGATTAAAATTGTTTCAATTAATCCAAAAGTCAAACTCATTTTCCATACTATGGACATTTGGTAAATTAATACCTGGCCCCATGACTTTTTATATTCCCAGGAAAAGTGACATTCACAAGTATCCCTGGGATTTTCTTTCTACAATTCAAGCCAATGTTTTCTTTAAATTACTATTACCCAAAGGATTTTGAATTTTTAAAATAAATAGTATTTTTTCAATGCTAAACTTTTTGTACTTAACCAAGCCTATCACTTTCCAGATTAATATTCAAATTTAATAAAATAAAAGATTATAATGTTTCCAAAAATGCACATAACCCAAAACATATAAGCCTATGGTGTTTTCAACTTGTAGTAAACATTTTAAGCATGTTTTTAATATCCTGCACAATTATGGGAAAATTCAGACGGGTTATGTGTTGCCTTTCTGTGTGTGAGCAATTCCCATTGTGGTCACTTTTGTTCCAACACTTCGAACCAGAAATATGCCCTCTGGGTGAAATGTGATTTTAGTTCCCACGAATTCCTAGTTCTTTTCAAAGCAATATTCTCAAATAACCTCAATTCAGGAAAGGTCTGTTTTTTCCCCTTTATCTGAATGTTAATACTTTTCCCCAAAGCCCCTAAGATTCCTGGCATGCACAAGGTTTATGTTTTGCTAGTCTTTTTGAAAAATAAGGCCAAATACTGATAGGAAGAATTTGTATTCCGTGAGATCCTGACAGCTGTCAAAATACTTCAAAAGAGAAATCTTCTCTATTTCTTATTTATCTGTCCTTAGCACCTTCAAGTGTACTTGTTGGGACAGATTGATTCATTGAGCCGCCAACTTAAGGGAAGACAGTGGTCCCAGGGTGCAGTGGAAACAGTTAGGCTTTGTGATGAGACAGGCCTGAGTTGAAATTCCAGGTCTGGAACCGATTCTGGGTAGGTATTGAGAAAGTGACTTAAACCCTCTGAACTTCAGTTTCCTCATCTGTAAAATGGGGGCGATTAAATCTCCTTCATAACGTTGTGTAAAATGAAGTGATAAATATAAATAACTGAGCATATAGTAAGCAATCAAAAAGGCCAACTATTTTATTTCATTGTTTTTACAGAGTTCCAACAAATAACTGTTGACTAGACAGACGGATGTATTGATCTTTGGACGGAAGACTGGCTGGCAACATAAACAAATGAAATTATGAACCACAAATTAAAAAGCAACAGAAGCCATAGCTGACAATAGAAATGATAATATCTTTTAGGTTGAGTTAATGATATAAGCAGTCTCAAATGAACTCATGGCAAGACCCAGATAGTCTTGATGGTTCATCTCTAAATGACCTCACTGGAGCACTAAGTGGTCCAGTGTCCTACGAAGAACCAAAACAATGAAATACATCTGTAAGCTTCCAGGGTAAAATATCCCTACCATGGTGCATAAATCCATTGTCACAGAGTCCGGTGCCAAATATCATTGCCTCCTCTCTGGTGCGGCAATCCCCCTGTTAGCCAAAAAAGCACTGGGTGAGTTAATCGGCAACCAAAAGCTTTGCTGCATTTCTACTGCATGTGACATTCCTAGCACTACATTCTGACAAAGACTTTCATATTTTACAGCATGCATTGCTTTATACGACAAGACGCATCTAATTGTTAAAAACATTCAATTAATTAGAAAAATATTTTCTTTGGATATTAAATAAAAAACAAAGATTTAATATCTCTTGAGCAAAAACATATTTTAATAAACACAAAAATACATAAGTAACAAAAACGTATTGCTGCTATAAATGATGCCTTTGTGTTATTTCTTAGATCTTGTATCCCAATCACGCAACAGGGAAATATCTTATAAATTGACAACACACTAAATAAAGGTAAAAAGAAATCATTGTGTATGATCTTGGCCACTAACTCTTCTTTTCCACCAAAATGGCCTTGTCCTTTAAAGGCTCCTAAAGAAACCTATTAATCTCTGATGACTTATAATACCTTTAGGGTAAATCTGCTGAGCTAGCATCTTGCTGAAAAAATAGTCAGACCATGTAAAATGAGCTGAAACCAACAAAATAATCCGAAACTACCTTTATTTTGGTCTTTATTTAGAAAACACCTATTTTATTCCTATAAGTATGGATCCATGTGTATGAACATTTATGTATTTATGTGTGTGTATATATAACTTTAGAGTTGTATTTTGACAGTTTAAGAAGCTTATTTTTTCCTAGTCCTGTCTTTTAGCACTTAGGTACTCAAATCTCTTCTCTCTTCTCTCCGGCTTCTATTCCATTTCTATTGTCAACACCCTAACTTGGTATTTCTTCATCTCTCTTCCAAATTACTATAATTTTTTCTGGACTCTCTCTAACATGTGCTGTTATAGAATTAAACTTTCTTGCACAGAAATTCCATGTTTTAAACAGACTGTTCCTTTAACAGCCTAACATATCATAATTCTCTGTTGCACTTTCAAGACTTCCCATACCTTGGTTTTATTCTACCTCTCCAGCTTCACTCTCCAAAGCTCAATAATTACACTTTTTGCTCCACCTGGCCTCTGTACTTTCTGTGCTCATTTTCAAACTTGCTTTCACTCATGTCATTGTTCATACCTACCTTGCCCTTCTCTTTACCCTCCACCCATTTAAATTCTACCTGTCCATCTAGAAAGGATCCAGAGAAGTCCCACCACATGCTGTGACAACTCCAACCCTCACTAATTCCCCTGTTAACTTCTAAAGCATTTACAATCTGCAACTTCAGACTGTGCACCTGGCCCTCTTCAAAACTATAGCCGTTCTGTAATATTTATGCATCCATTCAAAAGACAAGTATTTTTTTCTATATATTGTGCCAAGTGATAGAGATAAAATATTAAAACACTCAAACAGAAAACACTTCCCTGCCCTCAAGTAATTCAAATATAATGTAGGATTTAGTCACTTAAAAGGTAGTATATTGAAAGTACCATTATCCAATTTAGTCAATATTCCCAATCAGGGAGATATAACGCAGGGAACTGGGACCAGAGGAGACAACCCTGAGTCCAGCACAGAGGACCTGGTAATCCCTCTTGGAAGAGATGATCCTGAGGCAGAATCTAGAGGGTATATAAAAATTAGCCCAATTGATCAATATCCCTTGAAGTCAGAAACCATGACTGCTTCCTGTTTTGTTTGCTTGTTTTATTTTAATCCTCAAAACACTTGTTCAAATGTTAACCTTACAATAAAGTCTTATTTAATAAACACTGACCTTTGATTGCTTTATTGATTAATTTTTCAAATGATATACTGGCCAGACTAATATTATACTGAACATAATGATGTAAAAATGTTTTGTCATCATCATCCCTATGCCTTTTAAACATCCTACTTGTGCCATACAGACCCGGTGAGCATTAACAACAATAAAAAAGCATGATAAAACTGCTGGGGTATAAAGAGCAAGGCATTATTTAACTATAAAATATGAGTGATCCATAGACAAGTCACAATTCACATGATTTAAGTGATGTTTTGAAAGTACATTAATGCACTTGTCAAATAAAGAGTTAACTTTGTCAAATAAGTTATTATAAACTATTATACTAGAAGCTGTACATAGGTGAGTGAAAAATGCATTCAGAAGAAAACAATAGTCATGTTTACCAAGATGACATCACATGATATATTGCAGAGTAAGAGAAAAATTATAGGATCTAGAATATACCCCAATCATCCTGGAGCCAGTTCCTTATCGTGTCCCCTAAAACTTTCCAAATCAATTCAGTGTCCTGGTCAATACTGGAAATCAAGTATCATCATTTGAGAGTCTTGGTGGAAAGAGATCCTTACTTTTTTAAAAAATCTCTTCTTCCTATTAAGAACTTTAACTTGTTCTCTTACCCTTCCGTTACTACGTCTGCCCTTTTCCAAGGCAGTCCATGGGATCCTAATGTGAAGCCAAGCAATCAGAGTTGATTACATCTGATACTTAAATTTGGCTGTTTTGCAATATCAGAATCATAAAGCTTCAGTGACAGAGAAGAGATGGCACATGCAGCTATTCCAGTCAGCAACAAACAGTTGTGAAAACCAAAATCCAGAGAGATCGAGTGACTCATCCAAGGGTACATAGCTAGTTAGTTACTGGCAGTGCTGGCATCAGATACCAGGTTGCCTGAGTCCCAGTGCAGCGTGATTTCTACCTCTACCTTGTCATAGCAGACCACTAAGAAAAACTGAAGAAAAAAAATAACTGCAACCTGGCCTGGTTTTTTTAGCAACTTATTCTCTTCTTCTAATGCTCACCCTTGGAAAGTAAAATAAATATTTTGCCAAATATTCACTTACTTATTTGTAAGTAAATATTTTGCCAAAAATAAAAGCTGATAACTGACTTCCAGAGTTAGAACTTTAAATGTTTATTAAGCACCAGCTTTTGCTTCAAATGAATTTTTTTTCAGTTTTCTCACATCATCAACACAAGTTCATATGAATTCTATAACAATATAATTTCTATGTGAAATCCCAACTCCGATACTGAATACAGAACTGATTCCGATGACGCACATTGACCACGGTGTTATAAAAGGCTCTGACACTAGGAAAGTCACTAAAAGCATGAGTTAGTGTTTCAGCTCAAGGTAATTATTTGGTTTCATCTAAAATCTTAACGTCTATATGCTATACAAATTTAAAGGCTATCAAATGCAAAAGAAGGTGTTCCTTGAACAGTCTAGAAATTAATATTAAACATAAAAATATCAAAATATATGTGCACAGATAAACCAAATATGGATTAAATATTAATAAATTAAACAAAAATAAACATTTTATGATGAATTATCAAATGTTATCTACTTGTAACAAAGAAAGCAAGCCACTTCCTTTATGAACAAAAAAGTAAAACTGCTTATGAAACTGACTCAAATACTCAAACATAATGACTTTCATTTCAACCAGAGATATCCCTTTCCTCAAAACAGTAAGTTAAATTAGATCAGTTTTCTTAATCTTTAATCAGTGAAAAACATTTGGATCATTTATTAGTTGATACAGTATGAAAAAACATTTAAATAAATTTATGTTTGAATATCTGTTATGATGGACTAGATACCCGCATTTGTTTCACTTATAAGCAAATAACATGTTCTCAGTTCCAGCTGCCAGTGTCCAAATCCTGAGAAGCAGGATGATAACAATAACAATAAATTCTGTACTTTCCTATTTCAAATCTGTGCAGATATTAAAGCTCAAGCACAATTATTTTCTAACAGGGAAAAAAAAAGCACAAGGAAATTATAATAACCTGCTAGGACTAATAAACATGGACTTTTAAAAAATAAACTAGTGAAAAAACATGCAAAAACTTTAGTATTTGAGCATAGCTATTCTTCAGGGATATTCAAATGAGCTTAGTGATTTCTGATAGATCTCATCCGTATTTTTAAAATAGGAACATCTTCCTTTTGAAAGACAAAATAGCATCAAAGCTAAATTTGAGAACTCTGAAGTCAGATTATCTAGGTTCAAATGCTAATACTGCTTCATACTATTTGAACTTTATCAAGTTTACTTCACTTTGCCTCATTGGCAGGCAGATAATAATTTTTAAAAAGTACCTAATTCACATGCTCAAAGTTTACAGTAGCAGTGAATGAAACTCAGCGCCTGACTTCTGTTAGTGTAATTTACCTGTGCAATTAGCCAGTCTATCAGTTTGTTGGCCATGACCACAGATTTGTAAGTCCTTAAATGGTAATCTTTATCTCTGTAAAGACGAAACAAAAACAAAAACATCAAGCAAAGGGACGAGTAAGTACAGGAAATATTTTCATTTAGCATCAGTGTGCAACAGAAAAGTTTACCATTGTAATCTGAATCAATTGACCAAATTCTGCACAAATAAGAGACGTTTACAAAGCATGTATAACACCTGAAAAAACCTTCATCAGGTCATGCAAAGGGAAGAGACCTACAATGATAGCAACACAAGACATCTGTTCTTTCACATTTTCTTATATTCAAATAGATTATTATCACTATATTATCTGGTAATAATTTAGCTAGATATACATACAGTAAGTCCGCACTTAACGTCGTAGATAAGTTCTTGGAAACTGTGACTTTAAGTGAAATGACATAATGTATAACAAAACCAACTTTACCATAGGCAAATCAATATAAACAAGACTTAAATTCCACAATTAAATTTTGCAGGCTTGGATCAAATGGGAATGAAAAAATGAGAGTCTTTTTAAAATGTCAAAAAATTAAAACTGCAAAAAACTTGAAGTGCCTAATAGTTACTAATGATATTCACTGTCCTTTAGCCTGTCCGTAATTTACAATTAATATTACTATTTACATTATTTTACCAACTTCCATAAAAAAAGCTCCCTGAGAGATGGCTGAAATTTCTGAGATTTCAATAATAAATAAACTAGGTTAGCACTGATCAACAGCCATTATTTTTTCTTTTAAATCTATTTCCATGTTTCTGACACCTCATCACTCATTTCAACTTGGTTTCTGTAGCATCAATGAGAAGAAAATGCATAGTCTGTTATAGATCACATGTGGATCTGAGGTTCTTCATGCTAAGGAATTTTTCTTTTTGTAAGCTGAGGTCACACTATTAAAAGCATGACTATCGTACATTCCATCTGTTTTATGGTTTTTTCCCCCTTAAATTTTCCCTTGACAACTCATAAACAATTGTCTTTTTCAGCCAAAGAACAATTCCTTCTTATCAGCTCTTACAGATAGAACTTTCCTGATTTAAAAAAATCTGATATGGCTAAAATATATTTTCATAACACATTTTGCACATACGAAACCTATGTATACACAAGTGACATGCAGAATTAAACCATTATTATTTTCTATTAGTTTAGCAGAGAAAAAATTGAAGTACCCAGTTGCTATTATGTATTTAGCTTTAAATTATCCAAAATATTTGCAGGGTATCTGTGACAGGAATATGGCTGAGTAAATAAATACTGTTTTCTACATCTACCTACTTTTAGAAGTCTGCTTATGAAAGTAGACAGCACACTTTCAGGGGTGATGGGTAATATACTATTATATTTTCTCCTCCAGGACTTGTAAGCAGTGTTTTCTCTGCAGTATAAATGGGCATTCCAATACACTTAGCAACATCTGGAATCCTTTTTTAAGCTGTGTGTTTTCTTGGAATTACCAAACCAGAATGAAAAATAGAAACACTGGACACACTAAACATTTGGATTTAATAGCCAAGATTAAAAGGTATCTTTATTTAAAGTGGTATATGCATTTTTGTTCTAAAAATATGATTTAGACAAGAAACTCTGAATAATTTCTGGCCATTTGAAATTAGTTTAACATTCTATCAGTTAATATGTATCAGTGCACATTACAAAAGTACAATAATTTCCTAAAGATCTATTAGTATTCATAATACAAACCTCAAAGTTTTCCATTGTCTTTCTAAAGAGATAAATTGAAATATAATCCTGATTCTTCTTTTTTTTAACAAAAAAGGTATATCTTTTCATAAGGGAAAACATGATAGAGACTAAAATTATAAAATTATATTTATTAATTTCAAAATAATTCTTAATTTTCAAGTACAAAGTTGTTTCTTTGGGAAAAAAACTATTAGGAGGAAATACCATTAAATAAAATGCATATCCACTATTTGGTTACACAATTTAATTTAAAAATTAATATACAAGTAATCACAATGGTAAATATTTAGAGTAAACAATATTTCCAAATCCTCTCCCAGTCAATTGTTATTTATTAAATATTAACTGAATGTGGATTATTTCATTATCAAGTCTATAACTGACCATGAATTAGTGGCAAAACAACTTTAGAAATCAAAATAAAAAAGTAGAAGATACTATAATTATAATCTTTGGAAAATTTAGGGATTTTTGTAATAAATTATTACTTAAAATAATATTTTAAAGTAAAATTTTTGCTTTTGGGAGCAAAAAAAATAAGCCAGTAAGTTCTAGCTGAATAATATTTACCTAATACACAATAAAAATATTTCCATTTAAATATCCCAGAACTTAGAAACCAGACTCACCTTATCACTGGAGTAAACAAACTATGAAGACGACAATATAATCTTACACCCTATGTAAAATAAAGATACGTCAAAAGTAAGTAAGATCACACAAGAGACATATCAATGAGATTTTGAAATAACAAATGAATTAACTGTCAATATTCTAGAATCATTACACAACCTCAACAAATTTAAAAATTATTCAAATGTTATATCATTAAAATGAGTTAAATCATTAAAGAATAGGATTAAATTGTGCTATGAATTTCTATGAATTGCTATGAATTTCAGATACATCTGACATATAAATATACAAAAGTTTTTATAAATTATTTTTAATATAAAACTTTGAAACATAAACAGAAAATAAACCTATATAGTAATACATCTACACTTGTTCATCATACGTCAATATAAATCTTTTCAAGTGTACAAAGAAAGCCAGTATTACACTGGCTTTCTTATTATTATTATTTTTATTATTATTATTATTATTTCTTATTATTATATATTTGTATTTCTTATGTGGTCAAGTATCATGACCACATGTCACTATATGTAAAACAGTTTTCAATGGATATAAACGTCTGAGTGACACAATAGTACTACTTTCATTTAGGACTAAATAAGAGAATTAAAAAAAATAATCTAACCATAGAATGTTAAAATTCCAGCAAGAAATAAAGAGCTTTGCTTTCATGTATAATTTAAGAGTTTTCTATACTAGGAAAATCTTTTTAAGTCTCTAATCTGCTTTTCATTTTTCTGAAGAATGACAATATGGATTCTGCTATTGAAGAGGTTGTGACAGAGGTCTTTACCTTTGAAATCACATCCTGCATCTCATTTCTTGGATAAAATGTTCCATCATCATACCGAAATCTATATAACATTTGCTCTGGTTTGAATTGATGTTTGTCAGTAACTAAGAACATAGGAATAATATATTAAAATAATGACAATCTAAAAAGTAACATATGAAAAAGAAATAAATGTATTAAATACATATTCCCAAATACTGAAGCTGTTAATTTTACAGAAAGCTTTTGCTTTTCTAACACAGCAATGCTTATCTGGTATTTTAATATGAATATCTTAACATGAATCATGATAACATATTATTATTTAATACATTTACAATTTCCATATAATGCTTTTAGAACTAAGTTGAGGTTAGCAACATTCAGCTAGCATAATATATATGCATCTAATATAGGTACATGAATAAATATATATAGTTTGTATATTTATATTTATATAAATATTAGTTTGTTTTTTCTATTTCTTCACAATGCCACAAAGCTGAACGAAAAGTGTCCTTCAGAGAGAAGATACTCAAATTAGTAAGTTGTGATTTGATTTTCAGCCCCAGAAGTGAATTTTAGCATTTATCTGTTTTATCTCACTGTGATCAGGCCAAGACCACACATACACCAATCTTGACCACTTACCCTGTGTTTAGGCCTCCAGCCAGAGTAGATTAAATAAATTCAATATCTAACTGATTCCAAAATTTTAACAGTTCTTACACTGAGAAATGCTTTTCTTACTCATCACTTAAGATTTTTTTTTCTCTCAGTGGAAAATGAGAGTGGTCATTCTTTATTACCATCCTCAAGATAAGAGTTTCATATTCATAAAGACTCTTATTCCCAGGACCTGAGGGCTTCACTGGTGAATTCTACCAAACATTTAAAGAATTAATGCTAATCCTTCTCAAGCTCTTCTAAAAAACTGAAAAGAAGAAAATACTTTCAAACTAATTTTACAAGGGCAAATATAGATACTATAGAAAAGTAAATTACAGAACAATATTCCTGATGAACATAGATGCCAAAATCCTCTGCAAAGTGTTATCAAATCAAATTCAACAGCACAGTAAAAGGATCATACACTTTGATCAGGTGGGATTTATCCCTGTGATGCAAGGAGAGTTCAACACATGAAAATTAATACATATGATGTACCACATTAACAGAATGAGGGATAGACATCACATATTGACTTCAGTAGATGCAGAAAAACTATTTGACAAATTTCAACATTCTTTCATAATAAAAACTCTCAACAGATGTAGTATACAAGGAATATATCTCAATATAATAACAACAATATACGACAAGCCCACAGCTAACATCATACTCAACAGTGAAAAGCAGAAAGCTTTTTCTCTATGACTAGGAATAAGACAAGGCCTGCTCTCTCCACTTCTATTCAACATAGTACTGGAAGTCACAGCCAGAGCAGTTAGGCGGGAAAAAGAAATAAAAAGCATCCAACTTGAAAGTATAATTGTCTCTGTTTGCAGATGGTTTCATTTTATATATAGAAAAAGCTAAAAACTCCACCAAAAAACTGTTAGGACTACTAATAAATGAATTCAATAAAGTTGCAGGACACAAAGTCAGTATACAAAAACTAGCAGTGTTCCTATAAGCTAACAACAAACTATTCAAAAAATAAATTAATTCAAGATCAGCCTGAGCAAGAACGAGACTCTATCTCTACCAAAAACAGAAAAAATTAGCTGGGTATGGTGGCATGCACCTGTAGTTCCAGCTACTCAGGAGGCTGAGGCAGGAGGATTGCTTGAGCCCAGGAGTTTGAGGTTGCAGTAATTTATGATGATGATGATGTCACTGCACTCTACCCAGGGCTATAGAGGGAGACACTGTCTTAAAAGAAAATGAAGAAAATGATCTCATCTATAATAGCATCACAAAATCAAATACAATATTTAGTAAAAAAATCTATCCAAGGAGGTAAAAGATCTGTACATTGAAAATTATAAAACACTGATGAAAGAAATTGAAGAAGACACAAATAAATGGAAAGATAGCCCATGTTCATGGATTGGAAGAATTAATACTGTTAAAATGTCCATATGACCCAAAGCAATCTACAGATTCAATCATATCAAAATTCCAATGACATTTTTCACAGAAATAGAAAAAAAACAATCCTAAAATCTGTATGGAACCACAAAAACTCTGACTAACCAAAGCAATCTGGAGCAAAAGGAACAAAGCTGAAGGCATCACACTACCTGAATTCAAAATATACCACAAAATTACAGTAATCAAAACAGCATTGAATTGGTCCAAAAGTAGGCATATAGAACAATGAAACAGAATAGAGATCCTAGAAGTAAATCCAGGCATTTATGGTTAACTGATCTTCCACAAAGGTACCAAGATCATACAATGGAGAAAGACAGTCTTTTCAATAAATTGGGAAAAGTGTTGGGAAAACCTGATGGCCACATGTAGAAGAACAAAATTAGACCCTTATCTCACATCATATACAAAAATCAACTCAAAATGGACTAAAGACTTAATTATACATAAAACTACCAGAAAACCCATGGAGAAAAGCTTTTCAACATTTGTCTGGACCATAATTTTTTGGATATGATCCCAAAAGTACAGGGAACAAAAGCAAAATAGACAAATGGGATTTCATCAAGCTAAAAGGATTCTGTATAACAAACAAAACAATAAGATTAAAAGGCAACCTAAGGAATGGAAAAAAATATTTGCAAACATATATCCAATAGGAGGTTAATATCTAAAACATACAAGGAACTCATTCAACTCAATATCAAAAATACAAATAATTAAAAAATAAGAGCCTAAATACTTCTTAAAAGAAGAAACCCAGATGGCCAACAGGCATATGAAAAGGTTTTCAACATCTTTAATCAGCAGGGAAATGCAAATCAAAACCAACATGAGATATAACCTCACACTTTTGAAGATAGATATTACAAAAAAGATATAAAATAAGTATTGGTGAAGATGTGGTGAAAAGGGAACCCTCATACATTGTTGGTGGAGATGTAAATCAGTACAGCCATTATGGAAAACTGTATGAAAATTCCTCATGAAAACAAAAATAGAACTACCATATGATCCAGCAATCCTGTTTCTGGGTGTGTATTCAAAGGAAATGAAATCAGTATGCCAAAGAGATATCTGCACTCCCATGTTCACTGTAGCATTAGTCACAATAGCCAAGATACGAAATCAACCTAAGTGTCCATCCGTGGATGAACGGAGAGAGAAAATATGTAATGTATTGTATACTTGAAAATTGCTAAGAAAGTAGATTTAAATGTTCTCATTACAAAAACAAAGTGATAACTATGTAAGGTGAGGGATATTAATTAGCTCGATTATGGTAATCTTCCCCAATTTATATATATATATATATATATCAAAATATCATGTTGTACATTGTATTTGTCAATTATACCACCATAAAGCTGGGAAAGAAAAGACTCCTATTAAATCTCTCCTCAAGTTTTCTCTTTTCCAGGCTGTTGTTTTAGTCACAGTCTAATAAAAAATGACTGTTCTAGAAAGTAAAAACCTCAAATTAAAACTCAAAGAGTTAACATTTAAATATTTTCTTTACACAGAAAGCAACATCTGCAGAATAGATAATTTGCAGCAATAGGCTATATTTTTATGATTTGAGAAAAGACTTTGACCTTTACTTTTTTTGGTGAAAGAGGAGAAAAAGCTGTCAGAATTCTCATTAACTACATTTGGTGAATCCAGAAGATAATCAAAAAACTTTAATAAATAAATATACCCTGGCCAAGCTATAAAGAAAAAAGCATGTATGAAGGTAAAATAAAATCAAGGGAAATACTTTGAAACCCTAAGGCATGTTTCAAGATCAGTAATTGATTTCTATTATGCAATCTACCTATTCACATTTTTATCCCTTAACAATCATTGAAAAAATTATTGTCTTGATAGTAAAAAATTCAAGGAAATGTTAGGCCCAAATGTATTTATCACAATAAAACAAGTGGTAGTTTAACCCATTCATTCAAAATGGGGTGTTTTGCATGATGCAAACTCTTGGGACCTTCCTAATGAACCCTGGGTTAATCTGCAACTCTTAGCTATTGACTTAGAAAAACAGTGAAAGGACACAGTGAGCATTGTAGAGGGGAAGGGAATGCCTCCAAGCCTCGCTAAGGAGAGGCAAAGACATAAAATGTAACCAAAATGTCTGTACCCTCTTAATACCCTGAAATAAAAAAAGAAAAGAAAAAGAAAAACAGTGAACAGTTTTGTTTTCAAATCCACTCTCCCGACTCCTCTAGCACAGAAAATGGATTTAGTTAACTAATGAGAGTTCAGGTTAGCTTGTGGAAAAAAGTTGCTTAATGCAGTCATTTAAATAACCTTGTGTGAGAGAACCAGGGATGTACTATAAATATTTAACACCTTGGCTCTCTAGGTGGTGGAGGTGAGGGGAAGAGAGGGGAAGCAGCTCTGATTTATAGCATTTGCCCATTTCTGTGATGTAAATACTCCTACTCTGGCCAATATCAAGCAACTTGAAGTTACTGAACAAAGAGTTAAGGTGCAGCAACAAAGCACTACACGATATTTCCCACACGCAGAGACAATAGATATAAATCACCTCAGGAGCATAGATAACAGTACAACGTACTGAAATAATTAAGCAGTAATGAGTTTTAAGAATGTTTTGGCTTTGTTTATAATATCACTTATGTACTTACATGTTTAAATAATTTAATTTTTAATAACAATTGTGCTTAACAACCAACCATCTTGCAAAATGTTTTTAATTTAATTATCAGCTCTCAGGAGCTTGGATGAGCCAACTTCATTATACCACGGGATATAAAAAATGAGGTCTCTGGAATCTCACATAAGCATTTCTATTTAGAGCCAGATAAGATGAATATTATCAGTATATCACAGGGAAAGCATATGCTGCCTCAACCCAAGAATTCCTGCTTTAGTAAAGCTTTGCCTCTGATGAAGTGCATAACAATATTTGCAATGTGAAGAATAGCAATAATAGGCATTTTTTTTTTTTGCTTGCTCTCTTTAAAACAGATAATTCAGTCCTGTTCCAAAGGTCTATATCTCTGTTCTTGTGCCAGTCCTATGCTGTTTTGGTTACTACAAACTTGCAGTAAAGCTTGAAGTCTGATAGACTTGCCTCCCAATTTCTTTTTGCTTATGATTGCTTTGGCTACATGAGGTCTTCATCGGTTCCATACGAAACATAGAATTATTTTTTCTAGATCTGTAAAGAATGATGATGGCATTTTGACAGGGATTGCATTAATTCTGTAGATTACTTTAGGTAGTATGGACATTTTAACATTTTAGTATTGATTCTGCCAAACCATGAGCATGGTAGGATTTTTCCATCTGTTTACGTGTTCTACAATTTCTTTTCTAAGTGTTTTCGTACTTTTCTCTATGTATGTCTCTCACCTCCATTAAATATATTACTAAACATTTAATTTTCTTTGATTCTGTTGTGAAAGGTGTTGCATCTTTTGATTGGATTTTTGGCTTGACTGTTATTGGCGTATATGAATGCCACTGATTTGTGTGCATTCATTTTGTATCCTGAAACTTTACTGAATTCATTTATCAATTCCAAGAGTCTCTTGGTTGAATCTTTGGGATTTTCTAGATATAATATTGTATTATCAGCAAAAAGTGAGAGTTAGACCTCTTCTGCCCCTCTTTGGACACCCTTAATTCCCCTCTCTTGTCTGATTGCTCTGGCAAAGACTTCGAGCACTATGTTGAATACAAGTGGAGATAGTGGGCAATCTTTTCTGGTTCCAGTTCTAAGCTGGAATACTTTCAATTGTTCCCTGTTCAGTATAATATTGGCTGTGGGTTTATCGTATATGGCTTTAATAATTTTAGGGTATGTCCCATCTACACCTATTTTGTTAAAAGTTTTTATCATAAAAGTGTGATGAATTTTGCAAATGCTTTTTCTGCATCTATTGAGTGAATCATATGGTCTTTGTTCTTGCTTTTATTTATATGGTGAATTGTATTTACAAATTTGCGTATGTTGAACCAACCTTGCATCTCTGGGATAAAGCCCACCTGGTCATGATGAATTATTTTTTTTGCTGTGCTGCTGGATTTATTTTGCTAAGATTTTCTTGAGGATTTTTACATCTATATTCATGAAGGCTATTGGTCTGTAGGTTTTCTTTTTTTGTTGTGTCTTTTCCTGGCTTTGGTATCAAAGTGATATTGGCTTTGTAGAATGTGTTAGGGGAGTTACCATCCTCCTCAATGTTGTGGAATAATTTCTGCAGTATAGGTATGAGTTCTTCTTTATAAGTTTGGTAGAATTCAGGTGTGAACCCATCTGATCCAGGCCTTTTTTTGTTGTTGGAAGATTTTTAATTGCTGCTTCAATTTCTGTGCTTGATATTGGTCTGTTCAGGAATTATATTTTTTCCTGATTGAGCCTAGGAAGGTTGTTTGTCTCTAAGTATTGGTCCATTTCCTCCATGTTTTGTAGTTTGGGGGCATATAGATTTTTACAGTATTCAAAGATGTTTTATATTTTCATGATGTCTGTAGTGACCTCTCCTTTTGCATTTCTAATTGAGTTTATTAGAGCTCTTTCCTTTCCAGGTCTTGTCAATCTAACAAGAAGGCTGTCAATTTTATCTTTTTAAAAAACCAACTTATAAAACAATTTATTTTCATTTGGTTTTATATTAATAATTGCTTCAAAAACATGCTAAAATAAAACCTGATATATGAAATTAAAAAAAAAGATGGTTCATTCAACTTTATTTTAGGAATCTTATTTTCACTAAAATGCAGCTGGAATCACATACTTATGGAACTAGCACATTTGGTTCATACCTCTTCATTCTAATTAGAATTACTCTGTTAATGTGAAATTATATAATATGTTCTCTTTCTCCCAGTTTGTATGTAAACATGAACCAGCGACCTTTATTTCTCAGAGTCCGGTAGTTTCAAGTCTTTTTATCCTGCCCATCATGAAATCCAGCTGCTGTCATATTTCCTTTCCCACTAGAATGGGAGAACTAATTTTTTGCAGGAAATATTGGGAAGAAAAACTAGCTGGTTTCCTACTGGTGAACACTGGCTGCTATAACAAACAAACCTCCTCAACACAGCGGCTTATGTTGTAGAAGCTAATTTTTCCCTTATGTAAAAGCCCAGTCAGTGGTGGAGGATGAGTTTATAGTGCTTGGGCCCCTGCAGGGTTTAGGTATCTGACACAGGCCCAGCCATCCTCAATGCTCTTAAAGGTCACCTTGAAGTTTTGAGGCTTTTGCCTTTTTAATGGCCTGTACGCTTCTCATGTGCGTCACTTTTGTGTACGTCCTTAGCTGTAACTCAATGACATGGCCATGCCTGACTGCAAGGAAAACTGAGAAATGTATTGCACTCATGCCCACAAAAAACAAAAGCTAAACCAATTTTGATAAATAAGTACCCAATTTCTGCCACTAAGGATTAGCCCCCAGGTTAATATAAGATCTGTGGAATTATAGTCAAGATAGGTTAATTATTATATAATATTTATAAACATTTTATAATGATAGTATGTAATAGTTACCCTATTTTTACTTAAAAGTTTTTAAATGATGCTTTTTTAGCCTAAGAGATGCTAATAAATCAAGTACAAAATCAAATACAATTGAAAAGTATCATCTGTTCATTCAAAATATAATTATTCATTTATTTATTCATTCAGTCAATATTTATTGAGCACTGGAACAGGCTGGGCACTCCAGGCATTTGCTATCAACCAACAAACAAAGCTTCTGTTCTGATGGTGCTTACATTTTGACTGGAGGCCAGGGTAGGGAGTAGAGAGATAAAGAGATAACAAACAAAGAAACAAGTAAAACAACATAATGATTTCAGATGGTTCTAAGTGCACAAAGAGTTTCTAAAATTAAAAAAAAAAATCAATAAATTAGAATGACAGGACTGGATGGGCCTCTAAAAGTCAGAGGGTCATAGAAGATAAGTCATGAATACAAGAACCTTTGTCTTTTCATCCACTGCTGTACCTCCAGCACTTAGAAAGCTTCCTGTATATATTAGGAAGTAATAAACAATTACTAAATGAGAACAACAAAAGCTAAGATCCTAAATAGGAAGTCACCTTGTAGTATTGAAGGAAGAGACAGAAGGCCAGGGTGGCCTCAGTTAGGTTCAAGTCTGGGTGCCAAGCTCTGAGAGGAAGTCAGAGGCCCTATCATTTAAGGCCTAGTAGGTCATGCTAAGAGGTTTAGGCCAACTAAGAGGTTGGCCTTGAAAGGTTTAGATCTCAACTTTTCTCTAAATTTGATGGGAAGGCGTTAGATGATTGTAAAGAGGGGAATGCTTTGATCTTACACCTGCTTTAAAAGATCTCTTTAGCTGTTACCTGGAGTGTGTACTGTGGGGGTGGGGAACAAAAATGGAAACAAGGGAGAGATGATGGTGACTGGGAAGAAGGTGAAGATCATGGAAGGGAGAGAGCTGATCTAATTAGGGACTTATCTGCGTGGCAGAGCTCACAGGGCTTGAGGGTATGAGGGAAAGAAAGGCGTCAAAGATGATTTCTAGATGGGTAGATGGTGGTACCATCACACAGGTGATAGATACCCAGAGTAATAAGGAAACATTGGAAGGATCTGGTTTGTTTGTGCACCACTTTATTTAAGATAGGAAATGCACATTAAAATACCATAGCCAAATATCCATATTTATTAATAATTCCCTGTCATCTTCTCCTCCCCTGCATTTTACATAGGAAATTCTTCAAACTTTTATCTTTAGTCTCATTACCATTGCTTTCTTGTTTCTTTGTTTACTTGTTGTCAATGTTCTCAGGGATCTGGTACTCTCTTTAAATGATTCCCCAATGTCTCTCACCTATTTCTATGGGGAGCTTTACACCTGTGATCCTGTGATGTCTTTTTGTATGCTAATGAGTTGACTGATCACTCACACCCCCTAGGTAGCTTCAGGGTGTGGCTGGTCACCAGGAAGACCAAGGCAGGATTACAGGGTTGGGACTTTCAGCCCCAATCCCAATCTCCAGTGTCGGGAGAGAGGGGCTAAAGGTTAAGTTGGTCGCCAATGGCCAATGCTTTAATCAATCATTCCTATGTAATGAGGCTTCCATAAAATTGCAAAACGACAGGGTTCAGAGAGCTTCCAGGTTGCAGAACACCTGGAAGTTCCTGGTGGTGTGTCCTTCCCACATGCCTTGCCCTATGCATCTCTTCATTTGTAACCTTTATGATGTCCTTTATATAATAATAAACCAGCAAACATGTTTCCCTGAGTTCTGTGAGCTGCTCTAAGCAAAGTAATTGAACCCACAGAGGGGTCATGGGAACCCCCACTGAAACCAGTCAGTCAGAAGGCCCAGAGGCCCAGACTTATGACTCGAATCTGAAGGGGGGGCCGCCTTGGAGACTGAGCCTCAACCTGTGGGATCTCCAGGTAGATCGTGCTAGAATTGAACTGGAGGTTACCCACCCAGCTAGTGTCTGCTACAGAACCGACTGCTTGCTTGGTGTGTGGGGAAAGCCCACACACATTTGGTCACTGAATCATTCTGTGTTGACTGTTGTTCAGTGAGAGAACAGAAAAAACGCATTGAGTGGGTTTATTTCCACTCAGAGACACCCAATTTTCAACTGCTTGCTGGATACTACCCCCCATGTCTCATACACCATCCACAGCAAATCCTTCATCACTGCTCTCTAACCAGCTCCTCCTGAGCTATCTCAGTCACGCAGACAACAAAGCTCCCTGAAACACTGTGCCATGCACACTAGGTACCGAAAATGTTGAAAAAAACATAAGCATCCTATAATGTGAAAAATTATAAATTCAACTGATCAGTGGAATTAAATAATGAAAATCATGAATTAATAGGTTAAATAAGTAATGAATAATGTAATCACCATGGTGAATGATCCCATTTTCTAATAATGCTTGTCCCAAGTGAACACCTTCCTCAGGCCTGTGAATCTCTCCAATTTCCAACAGCCATGACACAAATTCACTGCAACAGAAAGCCAATGAAAGAGGTAAATGGTTACTTTTTTCCCCTGGAAAGTTTATCTGTACCATGCAGTCAAGAAGCAACTCTGAAGGGAATCTCAAAATATAAATGAATATTTACAACACATTTCAGCAGATATTTTTTCTTTTATGTAAGGCTCATGGGCATTTAAGTTGGACTCTATTCTAAAAAATACATGTCTATACATTCAGACTTTCCTAAACTGCATTTAGTTTTAAACTCTTCAACTTGTTGAGACCTCTAATAAACACAAAATAAAAATTTTACAGTGGCTTTAATTATAAGGCTACTATCTACAGAAAGACAAATTTGGGACTAAAAGAAATGCAACAGATCCTAAAAAGAACTAAAAGTCAGAACTATATAGAGCAATAATAACTAAATATAAAGAGTTAAACTGTCTTTAACGTGGCTTCCCAGGCACAGAGAATCAGTGGGTTTAAAAACCCAGCAGGAAAAACAAAACTGCATGTACCATACAGTAGGCAGGACTCTAAAGAAATCTTCCCACAACCCTCCCACCCCCACAAGATTCCCATCCTTGGCTTTTCAATTAAATACTCATCTAGGCACTGCTGTGAAGGGATTTCTTGTATATAATTAAAATCCCAAGTCAGCTGACTTAAAAGTATAGAAATTATCCTAGTGGGCCTGACCCAATCAGTTGAGCCCTTTGAAGCAGAGTTTTCTCAGGCTGGTGGCATGAGAGGAAGTCAAAGAAATTAAAAGCATGAGAATGACTCAATGCGCCTCTGCTAGCTCTGAAGATGAAGGGGGCCCTGTACCAGGGAATGCAGCCTGCAGGAGCTGAGAGCAGCTTTTGGCTGCCAGTCAGCAAGGGAACAGGGACCTCATTCTTGCAACCTCAAGGAGATGAATACAGCCAACAACATGAATGCTCTTGTAAGTGAACCCTTCCCCAGAGTCTCAAGATAAGAGCCCAGTCTGGCCAACGCCTTGATTTTGGCATTGTGAGACCCTGAGCAGGGAACCCAGTTGAGTTTGCCTGGACTTCTGACTGCAAGTGAGCTAATGAGTGGGTGTTGTTTTAAGCAGCTAAGTATGTGCTAGTTTGGTATGCACCAACAGAAAATTAATACACGCCAAAAGTCAAAGAAAAGTTTTATTACCTTGTTTTGAAATTTTAAAATTACTACCTTGTTTTGAAATTTTAAAATTACTTGGTGAATTCATTACTGTATCTAAACTGTCATCCCTAAGGAGTATTCCAGCGCAGAACTGTCCATCAGAACTGTCTACACACACCTGTGCTGCAGCTGTGAAGGCCACCCAGGGCTACAGCTCACATCTTTCACCGCTGCAGGGCAGCTTCAGGCGTTACAGATAATAAGGATGATGGTCTGTGTCACTTAGGAGACACTCAGCTATGTAGCCATTTTTTAAAACTGCTCATGTAGTATCATTAAGAGAACACTCAATACAGAGACATTGTACAAATAAAAAATGCTATCGTGCTCATGTTTTAAAAATCTAACATTTGCACTTTTACATAAACAAATGAATTTATTTTATACTGATTTGGGGGTTTGGGCCAGAGAAACATGGCTACGGGGAGCATCGGGAAATTATTTTTCCACTTATTTCAAAACCAAAAGCAACAAAAATGGCAAGAGTCAAATAATCAAGGGATTCAAAATGCTAAAAGTTGATTGTCTAGTCTAACAAATATGCTTTAAGGCAGAAAGAGTTGCTAAAGTACTTTTTTATTATTTTATTAAATAAGAACGATCTAAAAGAAGGAAAATAAGAAAAGGTGCCATAAAGCACAGCAGTGAAGATCAAGTACTTTGCAACGAGACTACCTGGACATGAATCCTGTTTCTGCTTCCACTACCGTGTGACCTTAGCTCTCTAAACCTCAGTGTATTCATCGATAACACAGAGATAATAATAAGAAAGCCAATGGCGTAGCTGACAGAGGATTACAGGAGATGAGGGACGCCAGGAACTCAGCATGGCACCTAGCACGTCGTGAGCTCTTACTAAATAAGCATCAGCAGTTGACAAGTGGGTTGAGATGGCTGATGTGTAGCTGAAGCGTAATTCTCCATTCTGAGGACACCAGATTCTTGAAAACTGCATTAATTTAATCATATTAAAATGAGGGGAAGAGCCAATTTATATATTGCTATAAATTGGTGGGTTTTTTAAAAAAAGAGAGTGGGAGGGATACAAAGGAAGCGAATGAGTGGCTTTATCATGGGACATACTCGGGTAACAGGGAGAGTCCAACAACAATCTGCTAAAGGATCATGATCTGCTCAGAAATAACTTCGAACGTGGGCTGTCAGACAGCGGCAGCAGCTGTTACGGAAAAGGCCACGATAATACACACAGCCAAGACTCACTGCGTCTCTCCAACCTATCAGGTGCTGCGGGAGCTGCTCTACGTAGCAACCCCGCTGACTAGGACTGTGACCATATGAGATGGTGTGGTTCCCCCACACTGTTAGCAAACCCATTCTCCCTCAAACGGGACAAATTTGACACTGGCTAACTTTCCCTCTGCGTTTCCCCAGACACCTGATGAGGGTGTGACGTCAGCTGTTACTAGGCAGCACTGCTAAGGTAAAAATGACCTTTGATGGCTAAACTGCATACATTTAAAAACCTGCCAGGAGCTGTCACAGCTTGAAGTGACTCTTCAAAGTGAGCAAGTCCCAGCGAGGACTTTGGAGTCGTTACAAGAGATACTTTTTGCTGCATGGGGCTTCGTTGCCAAGGTGAACTCACATCTGCACTTTTCCTTGCAAAAGAGCTATCACCTGGGGGGCTACCTGCCAACGACAGACAGCAGAGCTCACCTACAGCGGTGAGGGCCATGCCCGCTGAAGAAGAGATCCAGTCTCTGCCTGGCAGGCAGAGGGTTTCCTGGCCTACATATTTCTGAGTTGGTTGTTCTGGGGGTAGTGGTGGCCTGTGGTTATGTTACCTGTCCTCATAGCTTGTTAAAAAGACAACCTAGTGGGCACCACAGGTAAACGCTACAATCAAACACTACAATCATCTCCATGTTTCCAGAGGAAATAGAAACTTAACTTTCCCAAATCTCACAAGAAAACTAGTGGTAGCACCAGGAATTCAACAGAGAGCGTTTGATTGCAGTCTGGACTTTGAACTACCACTCCAGCCTACTTTACAGAATTAACATTGGCATTCACTAAGCAAACAAAATTGTTGAGCTCCATGAGCCAGTTTCTGCATCTTTAAAAAGTATAAAGTTATTCACCTCCTAAGTATGTATTCAATTGTCACAAATCATGTATAGAAGAAGCCAGCACAGAGCCTAGCCTCAGAAGAGCTAGCCAAAGGCAGCTAGCCTTCCCTTTGGCCTTGTACTGATTAGCCCAGCCAGGGAATCCCACTTAACGCTGTCTGCGGACACCAAGCAACAAACCTGCAATCTGCCCTGTGCTGAAATCCAGGGTGACCTCCTGCCTGGTGCTTTGTGCCTGCCCTTGCATGGCCCACTTTCCAGACTCTTCATCCATACATCTCATCCTGAGCACAGCTGTCTAAATTGTGCATTTACCAGGAGTTTAGAGTGTGTGTCCTCAGCTCGCTCATCTTCCCTGATTTCAGGCCCTATACCCAGGTCCATGCCAAACCAGTCATCCTGTCCCCTACAGGCCAGCCGCCAGCCACTTCCTTCTGGGCCCCAATCTCCACTTTGCCCTGGGATTCCCGGCATATCAAATATTGTGGAAATCATGAATGAATGGAAATGTTACCAGCTGCAGGTTCTTGGGCTCCCATGCAATAGAAATTGACACGAGGACAAGAACCTCCCCAGACAAGGCTTTAATGGATCTTATACTAGAGCACAAGGAAGAGAGCACAGGAGGAAGAGTTCTCTGGCTGGCTCCTTGGGGGTAGGGCTTTGTGGTGTTTTTAGAGGGCGATAGAATAATTCATGAGGTAAGGGAGCACCATTACATGTGTGGGTCAGGTATAGGCTGCGCAGGCGCAGTCAGAAATCCTATTAACACACACATCCCCTGATTAACAAATAGGGAATATGCCTGTCCTGGGGTGCGGAGGGTAGTGATCCAATGAGGTAAGGGGTCATGATAGGTCATTCTCCTGGTCTTATGTGTGTGCTGGTGGTAGGGTCGACTGCCTTGGGTAAGATTTACAGGGAAATGTTGTTTATCTTAGCTTCTTCAGATAGCCACGCTGGGTGGTGCAAGGTCTTGTGGTTAGCAAGCATGAGAGAGAGATGTCAGCGGGGATGGGGCGAACTTCTGTCCCTACCCTGTCTCTGATGGATGCCTCAAGTCTCCTCCTGGTCATGGTCTCGGCTCTCTGTCCTTTCCCTCATCCTGCTGTGGCCCAGGAAATGTCAATTGTAAAGAAGTATTCAAAAATGCTTAGGAGAATATTTTTACAAGAAAAACAAATAATTAAAGGGAAGTTGACACAAAAGATAGAATATGAAAGAAAGACAGGCATGCACTCAGACTATCAACCCTACCTTCCGAGAAAGCATTTAGGGAACGTAGTCAGTTTTCTTTTTCTGTCTTTGATCAGATTTCCTTGTTTGCACATCATTTTATAAAGTTTTTCGCCCTGTTCAGAGATCATTACCCAGGTGTCTTGCTCCATTCCTAATTTTAAGCCTATGAAAAATGAGAGAAAGGACAGGTCAGTGGCAAAATCTCTTCATTTATTTGTTCATGCCTTCACTAAACAAGCATTTATTGCACGTCTACCATGTGCTGGGGACTGTGGATTCAGAGTTCTGTGAGATAGGGCCCTGGTTTTCAAGAAGCTCAGGGTATCTGGGGAGACCATGCAGGCAAGATCCCCAAGGCTATGGCACCTTTGTGCAAATCATGCCCAAAGGCGTAATGAAGGCCAGTGGAGTAAGAAAAGCAATGAGGTCCCAGCCTCCATGGACCCCTGGGTCAGGCACCTTGTGCAGGGTTGTATCAGCAGAACTGGATAGAGAAGCCCTGGAGAGAGGCCCGGGGGAAAAAGTTGTGATACAACAGAGGCATACTCAGGGTACCTCACCACTCCCTGACAAATGTTAAGAAAGCTTTCACAGAAGGGCTATGTCTTAAATGCACAAGTATGAATAGGTATTTCTAGAGAAAGAGAGATTATTTACAAGGGCTGATTTGAAGCCACACAGATCCCTGGAGCCCTGGGCTCCATGAGAAGATGCTTCCTTGCTCAACCTATAGTTTCAACTTACTTCACTTCCTTAGGCATCAGGGAAACATCTAAGCCTTTTAACCAGTAGGAAGAGAAGAGCAGGGTAGTGCACAAAAGAAAGTTGTGCTGCTTTAGAAGCAAAACTTCTGAAAAAGGACAGTGTAGAGAACCAACTGAAGGGGGAAAAGTTTAGAACGAGGGAGATCATTAGAAGAAAACTGCAAAAGTTAATCAAGTTCAAGCTTGAATGAACTGCAAATAAGAGTAGAGGCTACAGGGCAAAGAAGATGAAGTTAAAAAATGGCTTGGAGGTGGCATCCCTAGGACTTGACAACTGGTGAAAAGTGGCATGAAGGAGAGAGAAGAAATCAGGATGCCTCCCAGCTTCTGATGAGAGTATCTGAACAGAGAGGGGAGGCTTGCTGGGCAAAGGTGCCCAAGTAACCAGGAGCCCAGCTGGTAGTAGTGCGCTGTGTGTGGACGCTCAGGTGGGAGGCCTGGGTTCAGCCGAATGCATGGGTACTCAATTCAGGGGGGAGGACAAGGCTGGACATAAAGACTGAGAAATTGACAGTATAGAAGTGGAAATTAATCTGGTGGGAATAGATAAGGCAGGCTAAGAATCAAGTTAGAGATGAACAGCGCCAAGCCGAAATCCTGGGAAGATCAACACTTAATCAGGACTGACACTCAACTGCCACAGAGGAAGAAGAAATATTTGAACTACTTTTAGTCTCTAAAATTTTATTTTTTACAATGCAGGGGCCATTAACATTTGTCTACAAAGTGAATAATCCCTTAAGAATAGAGCATGACAAAGATAAGTATCATAGACAGCTTTTTAGAAGGGACAACTTTTTTCTCTTCTTTTGGGTTTGTTTTTGTTTTTGCTTTTTGCTTTCAGATTTTTGTCTTGGGTGGGTCACAGTCAAGTTCAGGCCAGTGGCTCACACTTGTAATTCTAGCACTTTTTGAGGGGATTGCTCCAGCCCAGGAGTTTGAGGTTGCTATGAGCTAGGCTGACACCACGGCACTCTAGCCCAGGCAATAGAGAGAGACTCTGTCTCAAAAAAAATCAACTTGATGAAAAATTTGATTCACCTCTTAAGTTATTTGCTTTCCTATTTGAATTGATTACTAGATTCAACAAAAAGAATAGGTTATATACGCATAAATTTTGTTTTAAAAATTTCTATCTACTTCTGAATCCAAGATCAATCAAAGGAGTATTTGAAAATGCTTTTGAAATTCTTCTACTAATGTGTTCTATGAATATTTTAATCAAGGTAGAAACTATATATATTCTTCAGGGGAAAACATCTGAAGATAGAAGAAAGGGCTCTTTGTGTTCCAAAATTTCATTAGCAATAAGGTGTTTTATTCCTAGATCTCTGAGAAAAGAAATCAACAGTGTCATCCTTCTTAATTAAGAAATCAACTGGTAAAGTAATTACTAGAAATACAAGCATTTCTATTTCCAAGCAGAATTACAGAAATATGTCTTGTTGCAGATAAACTTCACACAACTGAATGTTGCCAGACCAAATACCTTTTGCAAATTTTTTTAAAAACATAAAGCAAATTCGAGCTAGCCCTTCTCATGTGAACAAACAACTAAGTGGGTTGCATTACCCTACATTCAATGCCTAACAATTTTAATAAGTTAGTATATATCCAAATGCATTAATCTATAATTAGAAAACTAACATGTTGGTTGGTCTAGGAATTTTCAGTGTACTGTTAAATATACAAAGAACAACTAGAGGCCCAACAACATGGCATTTTATTATTGAAGCTTGTCTATTAAAGAAAAGTTTTGTAATGCTGCTTTAGAAATAGCAAGAATAAAGTGCAAAGCAAATGGAACAAATTTTAAAGCAAGCGAAACTATTTGAAAGACATTGCCAGCCATAATATAATTATTTTGCTAACTATATAAGATTTTTCTTTTATTTTAGCAACAGTATATTATAAGCATTCAAAAAATATTTTAGTACGAGGCTCACATCACATAGTAAATCAAAGTGAACATCATATATCTTTCCACTTTCTGAAACTTTTTCCCATTATCTGTTCTCATGCTAAGTTAGAACCTTCACAAAGAATAATAGTGCCCAATTCATACACCCACCTTTCCGCCGTTCTCTTTCTTTCAAAATAGCTTCGAACCATTCATGCTTCTCTTCAGGTGTTTTTGCCATACAAACAAACCATTTATTTTTTGCGGTGTTATGTATCTTCCATCCATTAACAACAATGTGTCCACTGCTGTGGAAATCAGCTGGAAATTAACGGATAAAGGCAAATATATATTACATATCAACATAATCATTCAATTCACAGATGTCCCCAAACCACTGAATTATTCAAAATATCTTTCCTTCATAAATGTATATTGCAACACAAAAATTTAAAAAATGTTTATATATTGGATGCAGTCAGCATTCAATAAAGGAACATTTCTAACTCACAACATTAACACATTACATGAGATTAAACACCACAAACTAATTAACATTTATTTGCTCTATGCCCCAAAATACTGTTGAAGTTTCTAAAAGAATAAAAGAATACCATTCAAGGAATTTTCTTCTCAATAATCAAACATTCCAGGTGTCTGACTCATTGTTTTTCTAATATTCTTTTGAAATAATATTCTATTAATAGGTTTCAGAGACAGTCTGCACCCCACAAAAATTCTCTACCACTTAATGAGCTGCACGGTAAGAAACAGAATGAGTCAATGGAACACACAAAGTGTATATTTACCCAAGTCCCCATAAATGGATATGTACAAACACTAAACCATTATCATTGCACGTGGTTGAAACATCCACTCTAACACCACATCATTTCACATATTTAGCATGAAGGGGAACTCACAAAAATTTTTCTTTGAAGATAAATTGGCACTTAATTGTCTTTTCAATACTTCACCATAAGTTTGGCTAAAGTGTCATGCTGCGTTTGAAAATGTCAACAGCAAACCCTGTATGGCAGTTCTCACCCTAACAGCAGGTAGAGAATAGTGACATAACTTGCAAGGGACCTTTACTGGCATGACAGTCCCTTCAAGGCAAAGATTCAAAGATGGAAAAACATGTGACAGAAGCCTGAGTCAGCATCTGCACCAATTAAAGTGATTCTTTTCATTTGTCAGCCCTGGGAATCATTAAGTAGCAAAGGCCAGCATACAGGAGGTAAGCCACAAGAAAGTTAAAAGTGGTTTAAAGAATGACATTGTGGCACTTTGGTTTTTTGTTTTTTTGTTTTTTTCTCAGATGACTTATTTTATTTAGTAAGTTTTGAGTAGAAACAGACGTGCTTGGCCCTCATTCTCCCATAATCCACTTCCCAAACTCCTTTTCATTAGCTCCAAAATAACCACACCATCATCTATGGCCAAATGAATAATCCCCCAAATGCATTATCAAATGATGCCATGTAGTTGTTAAGGTCTTTAAAACTTTCAGGTTGAATTTGAGTCAGAACAGAATTATATTAGACAATAGCCTGTATTTTACATATGTGCCATAATCCCAAGATTAATCAATAACAATTTCTGATAATATAGAGATTCCAACTGGCAGATCATGTTTTTCCACCATAAAGAAATTACAATTCTTTTTAAAAGAAATTTTTGTACTTTCCTTACCTTTATGTATTTAATACATGTTCACATCCTGTACAAAGTAGTATTAACAGAACCTCGTAATTCATGTCAGATAAGTATTAATGGGCATTAGTGGGAGAATAAAAAGTATTACTTCATAATTATAGTATAATCCCCTCTTAATATCTATTAAAATAACCAACTGAGAAATTATGATAAACTGGTGGGAAAACACTGCAAATTGCACATGTTTGCATGTACAACTCTTCTCCCTCCCCCAACTTGTCACCTCACTAAGGTCATGGACAAGTCCAACAATTTCTTTGTTCTTAGGAATTTTTTAAAAAATTTTAACCAAAGAATAAATAATTTATTAAATGGCAAACATAGGAATTGTAACTTTTAATGGAGATAAAACATTAATTTTATAGAAAGAATGGAATTAAAGTTGCCTTTGATTAAATATGGAATATGCAAATTTAACAGTCTCTAGTCACTGATTTCTTCCGAAAACAGAAAAACCCAAGAGGCAAACCTGAAAAATGACTAATTACTTGAAGCTATACAGTTTGCAAATTCCTTACTCTTAATTCAGCACACTTTCATATAATAAGATGAGGTTTTCCCAAAACCTATATGCTATAAATCTCAGTGGACATGCTGGTATCCTTTCAATAAATTTGCATTTCAGTAAGATGGACCATATCCAAGTATTATATACACAGACTAAGAAGAGAAGAAATTGCCAGAATATATTATTCAAAACACTAAGAAACTGATGTCTAAATAATGTATTCAATCCTTGTTCTAGTGATCAACACTGAACACATAAATTTCTAAGGAAAATTTTTAAAATTATAATTTACTCATATTATGAATATTTAATGTTGAGAAAATTTTCTGGAATAATTTTTTTGATTTTATCAAATAATAGAAGAAATATGATATATGACATTACCTTCGGCAAAAAAAAAAAAAAAGATTCTAATTGACTAATTGATTTTTCCTTTAGGCAGGCACATTGAACCACCCATGCACTGACTTTTCCTTTTGAAAATCTAAAAAGTAGCTTATCCCTTGGCCTTTTTGAATTTCCAAATATACTTCCTTAAATTAATAACATCTTGAAAATTTCAGTGTATCAGAAAAGAACTATTATACTCTTAGTATTCTTCTCAACATTGTTGTCATTGTTACTGTTTAATTAAGAATGTATTCATCCCAGTTATGCAATAATACTAAAGTTGTTAATGTAACTATGGTTTATCTATTTGATTAACTATTATGCAGCAATAAAAACTATGTTTATTTGGTTATAAGGCATGAAGATAAAGATGGCTATCATTAAGATATACAGGTACTTTAAGTGAAAAAGGATAAAAAATTATTAATATAGAGTTCATGGTTTGAAGCATTTTTTAAAATCTAAGCATAAAAAGAAAAACTGAAGGAAATATTTTTTAAAATCTTCTCATTTATTTGTCTTTTGATGACAGGATTGCCTAGTATTTTTCATCTTTACATTTTTCTGCAGTTTCCAAATTTTATTTCATAGCAAAATTTAATTTTATAAAAATAATGCATTCAATACCTTCAGATGGTTTAGAATATATTAAAAATGACAACTGAAGTTTTTCTTTAAAAAAAATCTATGTGCTTTTAAAGAATACTTTAAGAATAAAAATTACCATCTTATCCCATTCAAATTTGACTATTGTGTTGAAATCTAAGGTTTGCCCGACACTGAACGACAGACCACATTTTCCAAGGTCAACCATCTTGCCCTCTGTGAACCACACAAATAAACTGGTTCTTACCAGAGAATAGAAGTGATCTGGTGCTACTTTCTGAATGGCTTCCCAAATATGCAGTATGAAAATTACCACGAAAAATAATTCTAGGAAGTTGAATAGCTTTCATACTATTGCTCTTAAGCGGGATTTTTCTGATAGTATCATGATCAAACTAGTATTTCCAGAAAGAATCCTCAAAGAGGAATTAAGTCAAATTCACCGAAATGAGAGTTGAAATCTAGAGAATGGTGGCATGGAAATTTGGCCACAAACGCAAAATAGTTAACATCTTCCATGAACACATAAAATAATGAATAACATGGATAGATTTACATAAATGCATATACAATTTTTTTATACTTCCACACACCATGCCACCATTTAATTAATTTTTTTATATACTAAGATATAATTATGATATAATCCAAATCATTAAGCATTTTAAATAAAATTACAATCATATTATTTCTCAAAAGATTCTGGATATTTACATGTTGTCTGAAAGCCTTCTAAGTGTAATTATTTCTTCTGCAAGTTTTGTCTGATAGAGCTTCTTCCTCAGAAAAGAAAAGTATTTTACTTATTATATCTAGAGTAAACAAAAATACTCAGTATTTGTATAATTCAAATGGAAGGAAAACCTTCCCATTCAATTTTCCATCAAAAGTTCTAAGCATGGTTAAAAATATATGCTCAATTCATTCATTTTTATTATTTATAACTAAATACGGTGCAGTTGTTTGTTTTTCATGTGGGCAATGGCGGATGAGCCTGACTGTATTTGCCCATCCCTGATTCAATTTGTCCAGGGCCCAAGTGTGGAGAGAACTTACCATGTGGACATTAATCAGCTCTGCTGAGATCTGTCAGCATTATTGCTTCATGCAGAGTATAAAGTATAGCAGGCCTAAAACCCGAGCCCATCAAAAATAAATGAAGACTCTATGATGGAAATGATTAAGGCATCAAGAAAGGGGGTAAGTTGGTACAACACTAAAATCATCTCTTAGAAGAAATGAGCAACCAAAATCAACCTCTGCACACTCCTTCACTGCTCTCCACTTGGGAAGCCAGCAAACTTATCTCTAGCCCCAGCTCTGTACCGAGCTGGGTAACCTTGTACAAGTTAGTTTTTAAACCTGGCCTCTATGTTTCCATCATATGAAATGTTGATGAGGTGTAGTAGTTCATCTTCAAGATCCTATCCATCTTCAAAAATTCTGTTTTTGAATTTCCAAGTCTGGCAGACACAATGTACACTTTCCCCAGAGACCCAGTGGATACACCCATGAGAAAACTAAATTTTCCTTGTAGGATGTCAGGGGAAGGTATCCGATGGCAGCCTGAAAATTCTCTAAGTGACCCTGTAGCAACTATCTGCAGCCAAATTCCTGGTACATGCTGTTTATGCATGTTCAAGAAAGAAGAGAGGGGAAAAAGCCCCTCGCTGATACTATAAAGCCTAATAATTTCTTCATTTTATTTCAATGAAAACTAAGCCTTGCAAATTTGTGTCAAGAGGCTCCATCAGACAAGTAACTTATGCCAACTAAATATCCTGCAATGTCCTGTCCTCCCCATAATTCACACTCAACAGGGTCTCAGGCCCTATCTTCACAAATGCCCTTGCCCTCAGGAATCTTACTGTCATCAACAGAATTTTTTCATGGAATTCAATACAAGGACCATTATGTAAGAGCTCTATCCAAGTCACCCCACAAAGCTCTCACTCCCTTACCACCCAACACAGATAAACTGAGGGCTGCAAAGGCCCTGGGCTCTCACATGTCTTTTTTAGTGCCCCAGTTGCTCACAGGCACAGTAATCATAGTAATCACCATCAAAATTCAGGCTACAGAGGCAAGATGGCTCTTAACATTTTAGACAGATAACATTTCCAAATGTCACTACGTAGTCTTCTTAGAACGCATAAAATAAATTATTGCTACCTTATTAAAAATGTGTACATCCTGCTATGGAAAGATAGCGGACTAGGTGCCACATGCCAGCATGGGAGTATCTGCAACTGCATTATGGTCTGCAGCACAGAAAGGAATTTGAATTGGGGCATCTCCACACCCCCAGCCGCAGTTAGCCACGGAGGGGCCTCTCTACCGATGACCACAAAGACGTGGCTCCCAAGGTGACCACTCAGGCTCGGGCACCACCCAGAGTTCTGCTTGGTGCCTGCCTTGTCCCCTTAGCTGCAGCAATCACGGTTCACTATTTTATGTACCTGCCAATTTGTTAAGATGATAAAAAATGATATAGAGAAACCGCCTACAAGTGAGCATTTGAAAATCTATGCCCCTGACAAATTACAAACATTCTTCTCCCCCCCGGGACCCCAGAATGACAAGGAAGGTATGTGGGAGGTGGGAGGGGGGGCTAATTAGTGCTGGAACCCCATGTTTATATTGAATGTTATAAAGACATTTCTCTAGGTGGAAATAAAAGTCACTTAAGCAACAATTAATATATTTTGTTTCATCTTGTCTTTTCCCCTGGAAGCATAACTTTGAAATTCCAATTAAAATTAATGGGGGGGGGGGTCAGGGAAGGAATGTGATTCAATTTACTAAGCATTCATTTGATAGACAACTTTTTTTCCAAATAGAAAATAAAATTTATTTTATCTTCATTTCACTTAATGTTTGTGACTAATAGTGATTTCATGATTTGCTTATAAGAGTCCATACCTTCAAACTACAGAGTAAAAATTTACTACCTCTGTGTAATAAAGTATTTAAAATGAGCACTTAAAAGTACACAAACTACTTCCATTCACAACTTTCCTGTATAAGCAAATTGACAACCTACCTATATTAATAATGGCTGTATAGCTAAATCAAATCTAGAGTTTGCTATATTCTACAGTGAATGTATTATAGTAACAAAATATCACACATACACTAAAACATATTGTAACTTAAAATCAATTCATTCATTAAATATTTTCTGTACACATACTCTCTGTTCCAGGATTTGTGAATGTCCTGTGATTAAAATGGAATGGATATTTTCAGAGAGGACACAATTCAACAATTTCTCTATATCTGTTTGATACTAGCATGTTTGTCAAATATAATTTCCCATTTTTACAATAGTTTTCCACTCCCTCATCTCACCTTTCTCTTCCCTCTACTTGATTGCTCTACCTAACAAAGTATTTCTAAGCTCTAATGCGCTGCAAATGAATTAATTATTCACGTGGGGGAGTTTACTACTGGCATGCCACTTAAAAGCCACTAATCACTGACCTGTGCCATCATCCACATTCTCCACTTCCATCACCTCTGTATTGATCCGGCCACGAAAAAGGTACCGATGTCCGTCTGTAGATGCCTTGCTGTTCTTCAACCGTCTTAGGATGGAATGAAGTCACAAAGACTTTGTTATTAAACTTAATGCAAAACAATATATTTTAAGCAATTCTTTCAAACAAGTTACCAATTCAATCAACAGTATCAAATGTTAGGCTCTTGGAGTTTTGTACTTGTATCCTCTCATTCACAACAGCACTGGTTGCTTTCCGAGATGTGACTTATGGACTAATTTTTTAATAAATTGAAGTTTCAAGCTAAGGATTGCCCACAGGTTGGACAGTGTGTGTGTTTACTCAATATAGGACATCCATGGTGCCTAATCAGACTCCGAGAGATGCTAAACGTTGGTTATCTGAAATTTTCATTTGTTCCTTTCACCTTCATTACTGAAGCTCCAGTAAAGATTCAGTTATTACTTATGATCCCTCTTCAAAGAACTGGCTGTGCTGGAGATTCTTAAGCTGAGCAATCTCCAGCTGTAAAAATATTTTTCCTATACTATTGTTTTTATGATATGATTACTGCGTACTTGTTGAACAAGTCTCTTAAGACATTTATAATCCTTCATAAAGGCCTTATTTATTTTTAAAATAGTCCAAAACATTTCAAAACTTTGTGTATAGTGAGTCTAGTGCCTCCCCTTTAATCTTAAAAAGTCTGTAACAAAGTAAAAAAAATCCAGATTTACAGATGAACATTTGTAACAATGAATTAGGTACCATGTTTCCCCGAAAATAAGACAGGGTCTTATATTTATTTTTCCTCAAGAAGACACCCTAGGGCGGGCGTCCTCAAACTATGGCCTGAGGGCCACATGTGGGTGTTTTTGCTCGTTTGTTTTTTTACTTCAAAATAAGATATGTGCAGGGTGCATAGGAGTTTGTTCATAGTTTTTTTTTTTTAACTATACTCTAGCCCTCCATCGGTCTGAGGGACAGTGAACTGGCCCCCTGTTTAAAAAGTTTGAAGACCCCTGCCCTAGGGCTTATTTTCAAGGGATGTGTTATTTTTTTAAGTATGATACAAAGATCTACATTTATTCAAACATAGTTAAGTCGTCTTCTTCTGGAACATCATAAGTCACCAAACCCCGAATTCCATGCTGAATTTCTTGCAACTCTATTTCCTTTAGAACCATTGGCCCCAATCTCTCATGTCAAGCAATAGAGCAATCATGGGGCAAATGAGAAGGGCTGCTTGTCTTCTTTACTGCTCCTCGACAAAATGCATGGGTTGTGCAGATACGCTGCATAGCCACGCCCATCACTAGATCTTATTTTCAGGGTTTAGAGCTTATATTGCTCAAATGCTTAGAAATCCTGCTAGGCCTTATTTTATGGGTAGGTCTTATTTTCGGGGAAACATGGTAGTTGCGGATGTTTGTATTTAAATCACTAAGCACCCAGGGAAGATGTTTTTAAAATGTTTTCCTTTTATTAAATTAAACAGGAAAGATTCTAAGAAATGATTCAAGGAGATCAAAAAATACCTAATCACTCAAGAGATATCAATTAGCCTAAATTATTTCAATGAACTCACTGACTAAAAGTCTGGCTAACAATTTAATATACTGAAATAATTATTAACTTTTCATGTTATATAGCCACAGCTAGCACAAGATAAGATGTGACTACCCTAACTGCCATGCTCCCTCCTCCTCTCCCTTGCAGTTGGACACCTGTCCTGACATAGATGGGATGGGTACAGGGAGGTGTCTCCAGAAAGCTATCACACTTCCTGGGTTCCTTCCTTAGAAAAGATTGCATGTTCCTGGCTTAACTGTCCTACACCTTCATCAAAATGTAGTAGTCCTTCATCGCTACTAAAGAAAACTAATTAAGTTGATTAATTTAGTCTGACTGGAAGCTTTGTCAGCCCTAAATCTTCAACACCCCTGTACTCCTCATGTTCAATTTGAAAGTAACCTCTGAATATTCTTTCTCAAGGAGCATAAATCAGTGCTGTAAATTAGGAATTCAGGCCAGGTAGCTACGAAGGTTGGCATCATAGGAGGGCAAATATAAAGAAGAATGCAGAGCAGAGTAACATAAAAGTAACCTCAAACTCTTCGAGTTAGAAAACAGTATCCTGGTATTCTTCTTGAAAAGAAGAATTTCTTGTAGTTTGGTACATCATACTTAAAATCAATCACATTTAAAGGCTAACTAACCTGAGCAACAGTTTTAGTCACAGGCAAAACAATCATATATATATATATATATATATATATAAGAATCCATCAACGAGTTCCATTTTCAAAATATTAATTTTTTCACGATCTACTATGAACTCTGTACAGACTTTATATATTTCTCTTAGGCAATACTCAATTAATACTCAAAATGAAATTCCACTAAATGTCTTATTAATCCTATAACATTTAGCTCAAATAGAGACTTTTTTTAATCCTTTCAGAAAATGGCTCTATTGAAGTTTAAAGATCGAAAAGCCTATGGTTTGAAAAATAATTATGCTCTATATTATAATAATGCATATTTTCATATCTTGATTCTATGATTTCATTCGTAAGTATGTGTTTTAGTGGTCACCAAGATACATGTACAAGAATGTTTATAATAGCTAGAGAACTAGAAACAACCCTAAAGACCATTGATAAGAGAATGAATAATTAAATTATGATTAAATTTGTGATATATTAAGCCAGTGGAATATTATGCAGCAGGTAAAGTGAATAAATTATTGCCGCACACAAAATGGATATATATTTTAAAAACAATATTAAATGCAAAATATAAATTGCAAAAAACTACACTATGATACTATGTTGTAAAGTTCATAAACAAGCCAAGCTATGCAATATCATGTCATATATATGAAATGCTATATTATAAATTATATTTTAAATACTAGTTTCTTTTAAGATTAATAGTATTAGAAATATCCAGAGCTGGGATGCCTACTCCGGTATACTGCTCTTTACAGAATGTAATTCTAAAATTAAAAGAAATTCATCAGTCCTCTGGTTCTTGTAATCACAACATTATGGAAGTTTGGAAGACATTCAGTTTACTCACACTTTCTGAAGGATCTCTAGATCTTAGAAAGTATATGCTAAGGTGAAGTTCATAAAGGAGATACAGTATTCTAAAGGAAAGGAACAGATGGTTTATTCAGTTTCTCCAAGCCCAGAAGGGAGTGGACATATTGATCTATTTAGTTATTTCCATTTCTAACCACTATATATTTGAGCCACATTATTCATTCATTAAGGATATTTGCTAAACAGCAGTATTTTAATTTTGTAAAACTTTTCCTGTTGTTTAACTTATTAAATAATTACAGCCATAAGACCATATAATATCATAATTTATCCACTAAGGTTAATTTTGCAAAGGCTTTGCACTTGATGGCAGGCAAGTATTAGTATAAGGATGAGATCAACTGTAATGAAAGATTTCATTCTCCAGCAGATGCCTTTAATAACTGCACCAAAACACTTTGTTTCATATTACAACTTTTTAATGAGTTAGCACGCAAGTAAAATTAGCAGCCTCTCCTACATCTTCCTAAATCCTATTTGTTTATTCCAATCTTGCTACCAAACTCAAAGAATTTAGAAGAGCATAGTGAAAGAAATAAACAGGCTGCTTTTCATATATGATAAAAATAAATTTTTAAAAAGCTTATTAAGATAGAAAGATCAACAATTTAACGATCTTTTGGCTGTAGTCCTAACCTGTTCCCTTTCATGAAGGTACAAGTTACAGGCCTATGTTTCCTAAGTTTGTGTCATTTCATTTTTGAATTAATACCTCCTACTAGGGAATTCTAATACTACAATCCACATGGCAGAATTATCATATATAATCAACATCAGTGCCCAATTTTGCTAACTTGCTCTGGGCATCTTGCTGCCTGACTTAGGAAAACCCATCCTAAGGAGATGAAGAATGATGCTCCCTTATAGTTTTGTGTCTCTCGTTTTCATTCTATCAGAAAATATTTGACTATAGTTTTCTAATTTCTGAAGGTGGAATAAATAGTCACTCAAAATTCTGCATTTCAACCACCTGCTTTATCTTTGAATTGAATGAAGTCTATCAGTACCATTTCACTAAAACTAAAGTGTCCTAGATACAGTTAGGAAGAAGCACCTAAAGGCTCAGGAAACTTCTCAATTAAATGCCACTCTACTATTTTGCTTAATCAACATGTAAAAACATTCTTCCAAGAGTTTAAGAAAACACCCTATAAAATAAGAACATTCTGAAGAAAAAATTATATTCATGTTTTAAAACAACACTACAAGGCTGTTAATACATAAAATTATTCAAACTAATGATGGCAGGGGACTAGTTTGGGTTTCATTCGTTCTGTAGGTATTTCTTGAGTGTCTTTTGCATGGCAGGTTTGCTCCAGTCTCCAGGAAAATAGCAGCGAATGAGAAATAAGATTTTCGTGGACTTTGCAATCTAATCTAGTAGAGATGGCAGGAAACAAGCAAATAAATAATGAAGGTAGAATGAGCAAGTGACAAATACTTTCCAGATACTCATAGAGAGTGACTGGGAGGCTGTATTAGACGTGATGGTCAGGGAGGGCATTGCTGATAAAGTGATATTTAAGTATGACTTAAAAGACATGAATAATCTGACCATGAAAAACCCAAAGGAAAGGACCACTGGGAAAGGAAAATGGCCGGTGCGAAAGCCCTATGAAGGGAACACACATGGCATAATCAAGGAACAGGAGAAAAAGAAGGCTAAGGAAGGCAGGGGGTGCAGTGTTGAGAGCAGTGGGATATAATGAGGTCGGAAGTGGCACGGGGTAGGGATGGACCATGCAGAAATTTGCAAATCAGGGTAAGGAGTGTGCATTTCATTCTAGGAAGCCAATGAGGGCTCTGAGCAAGGTGACAACATGATCTGATTTGTGTCATAATAAAGATGCTCGGGTTTCTGTGTAAAGCATAAGTTGTGGAGCAAAAAGAGAGGATTCATCGGGGCCAGTGAGGAGACAACTGCTGTCACCCAAGGGCAGAGATGGAGACCGAGAGAGGTGGAGAGATTGTTATATGCTTTAAAAGCACATGCAAGAAGATTTGCTAATAGATTGGATGTGGGGAGTTGAAGGAAAGAGAGGAACCAAGGCTAACTCCTACTTTTTGGCACTGAGGAAACCAACATATGGGGAAAGCTAGGAGAGCAGAAGCTTTAGGAAAGGACACCAAGAATCCCATTTCTTCCGGGTTATGGCTGAGAAGCCTTAAAGCCACCACAAGTGAGATATTCAACAAGCAGGATCGGGACTCTAGAATTCTGGGCTAAGCATAGAGATTTGAGAGAAACTGACATAGACATGGTACATAAAGCTATACGACTGGATAAAATCACCCAGGAAGAGTCAAGTATGAAGAGGAAAAAAGAGTCAGAAGCAGAGTCCACAGCAGTCCAACATTTGGCCAAGACAGCAGGTTGTCACAGGAGTAAAGAGATGACAGTGTTTTGAGAAGGAAGAATTGCTCAACTAAGCTAAATGCTGCTAGCAAAACAGGTAAAACCTTAAAGAGCAGAAAAGTGACCACTGGATTAGGAAATAGGGAGGTCCATGGTGACTTTGACATGCAACCCAGTGGGGCTGCCTGGACTAAAGCCTCATCCAATGTGGCTGACATCAGCGTAAGAAGAGAGAAGGTAGAGAAAGTGTAGCACGAAACTCTTGCAGGAAAGTTTGTTGTGAAGGAGAGCAGAGAGATGGGACAGAGTGTGACATAAAAGAAGAGACTTTAAGAAAAGTGATATTAGACAATGTTTGGAGCCAAAGCGTTAGGGTCAATGGCCAAAAATTGGATTAAGTGAGAATACTTAAGCTATTTTTTGGAAGAGGGATAGGAGGATGGGGGATGACAATCAGAGCAGGATGCTTAAAATTGAGATTTCAATTTTATAACTATTGGTGTTAATGAGGTAAAGGTGTGACCACAGGGCAGGTGGCTCAGGTGTAAAGAAGGAGAGGATCATTGCAGGTGAAGAGACTATGGGCTTTCAGATCCAAAATCCTGGCTAGATCATCCATGTGAGTTTCGACATCCCAGAAATGATGACAAGAGCAGGGTAGAAAGAAAATGATCCAAGAACCAGAGCAGTTACTGAATGCATGTGTGGCAGGAGATACTAAGTTCTCTATAAAAGGGAGCCAACAGGGGAAGGTAGCGCATAGGAAAGACTCATGGCATGAACTTCACGTGTGCTGGGATTCTCGACAGAAGAGGGGGGCATGGCAGGGAGCAGGATGAGGAAGCAGGGAAGACACGTCAGCCTCCTGCAGGGCCCTGAGGCATGGCTCGGGGACAAACAGCACCTCTCCTTGAGAGGGCTGTGGGGAGGCAGCCTCATCGGATGACAATGACATTCCAGGCAGGTTTCATGAGAAGGTGTGGAGAACAACCCTAGAACAGGCTGCGAGTACACAGAAAAGCTGACTGATGGATGATGAATTCTGGGAAATGCAGAGGACCAGGGGAAACAGGTGTGCTGGATAATCCATTTCCAAACCATTTCCAAGCCCTTTTTATGAGCTTACCTGTGTTTTCTTTTGCAGTACACCAAAAGATTATCGAAAAGAAAAAACACCCGTTCTTGAATATTTCCAGAAGAAATTTTCAGTAAGACTCCACACATTAGCATTTCCGTGCAGGTGTCCGTGATGTTTGACCCCTAAAGTCAGGAGAAATGCAAATATGTCTGATTACTTGGTTGAAACTTTCAGGTGTAATTATTTTTCTCCTTAAACTTATTCTTGTTTTTATTCTAAGAAGCAACGTATGCACAAGAGTAAGTTCAAACTGTACAGATAGTTACAGACTGCATGTAGGTTTCCTTCCCCTTCCAGCTTCCTCCTGGTCAGTCTCAGCAGACAGAACCCACGGTAAAAGACTCTGCATCTCCTTTCAGGTGTTTTATGTACATATGTGAACACATGCATACACAGTACACATTACCTGTATTGTTTTGAAAAGAGATAATTTCAATTTAATTCATAACTTTAATGTCTATAATTTTCTTTTCTTTTTCCTCTTGTCCCCAGCATGGGAAAGGGACTCCATGGATATTCACAAAGGATATGAGATTGCTTAAATGTCTACCAGGTCTCAATCTATATATCCACCCCCAGGATGGAGAAGAAGAGAAAAGAAATTAAATGAGAAAAGATATTTGAAGGGAGCAACTCTCCATAGAGCCTTTTTATTTATTTATTTATCGCCCTATTTATTAAAAGTTGGCATAGGCATACTCATTCATTAAATAAATTTTTATGCAGTGCTTGCCAAGATTACATGAATAGTAAAAAAAAAAAAAAAAAGTGATTCTTAACACAAGCACTAACCATTAGAAGTGGGGAGGAGCCACAAGATGGAAGGACCCCAGGTCCTGCCTGATTCACCAACAAAGGAAAGCTGCCCACTGAGCAAAACACAAACATCCAACTGTTGTGTGAGCTGCATATAAGTGTCTATTTTGAGTCTATCCAAATGTTGTGGTCTATTTGCTTCTACAAGCTAACCTATCATAACTAAATGCATTCATTGAGTTGGACAAAAAAAAGGATGTTTTCAGTAGAGATCTATATGTGTTCTCTGCAAGAGAATTTCAGCTTCAAATATGTCTAATTTCTTTAAATCTAGGGTAAATGTCTAATTTTTGTTTAACTTAATGTTTCTATTTTTAATATCTGGTTTTGTAAATTCAGAACATTAATTTCATATTTTCATAATAATCATTGATATTGTTTTTCCAGTCAACTATAAAAATTTAAGTTAAAATGGCAACTCATCCCTACAATAAGAAACTTCCAAAATGAAAAGTTAATTAAGAAAGCTTTATGATGTTAACTTGATTATTTATATTACAAATACAGTTTAAATTTGGGGCATTTTCCTTTTCTATTTCTTTTCATCTTGAAGGTGGCTATATAACTGGAGATTTGGCAAAAAATATACAGAATTTCATGTACTTTATCATTAAGTTCATTATGCAAAGACTACCATGAAATATGAATATAAATCTCGATTCCAGAGGCAATAATTTCTTATTACTTATTTATAAAGACTACTATTTCTATCTTAGGAAAAAATTAAAATAGAATTAAAATGTAAAAAAGGAAACATGTTGATTCTTGTACAAGGGATCTACATAACATTATGAAAAGTGGTTTTAATTAATAGCCAACTTCACAAAAGGTACAGGATACCTTCCTCTTAGACTATTTCTTATGGTGACCCATGTAGGCCAACCCAGGATGATAAGCTGTTACACTATGAAAGTGTTACTTAAAGTATTATCCTACTTTGCATGTTAAATAAATCTTCCAAGTATGTACCTCAAGTTAATATATACAGTTATCAGTAGATGCATTCCTGTATGACAAAAATCTTAACAGTATATTTCTTGACTTGTTGGTAATTGTGTTTATTAATAAATGCAAGGAGTATTTATGTGAAATTGAGCTAACCATAATGGCAACCTTATCCTACAACTGATTCACAGTGCTCCTATAGTCAGCCAAACCCTTCAGTCATTTTCTTCCATCCTGTACTTAAGTAGTTCGAGCTTTTGAATCATATAATCCAGATTGATATCATAAATAACTCTTAAACCCTTTGCTAACATACAGATCTATTGCAACTAAGGCATTATCATTAAGTCCCCATTAACTCCTCTCTCTTGGTCAAAAAACAGAATAAGATTAGTTGACCCCTTTGAGGTCTTTGAGGTCAACACTTGTTTTTATTCATTAACTATTAATGAAATTTATAGGGAACGGCACCAAGACCAACCATCAATAGTTTCTAGAATTCATGGTTATGCTGCTACGTGTATCTCACAATATACACAGAACACTCAGCTCTATTTTACTGAATCTGAATGAGACATTTCCATCACTGAGGTGACATGTCTTTAACATTTACAGCAAGCTCAAAAAGTTAGTGCAATATCCTTTTTTACCAACTGCTACTTCAGTAATTTACAATCATGACATGAAATATCTTCCATGAGTAATTAAGTAATTATCTAGGAATTATTTATATACTAAAGGACTCTGTGTCAAAATGTGCAGATTTGTCTAAAACTTCTCATCATAACAGAATGGCTTATAACGTTATCCTTTATACTGCATTTATATCTTAGACTATAAAGAATGCTATACCTTTGATTTCCCATGATTTAGTCTGTACATTATCTCTAGG